GCTGTCACCGTGCCGATCCCTGTGCCGCGCAGCAAGAGCAACTTCCTCCGTGTCATTTTGAAGAGGCTCTCTGGGGGTGTGGGCCGGGACGCGGAAGATCGAAGAGGTGGAATGAGGTGGATAGGTGTCACGAGCTGGGTTTATCCGATCTCGATGTTAAGTGTAGGAGAGTCAGAAAATTTGAAAAGTTTGGAGAAAGACAAGTTTGAAGTTCGAACATTTGGGAGTTTCGACTTTGAAACCGAGCGTGAGTTTGGAGCTTGAGCTCGAGGCCTTCAGGCGTCGAAAGTTAGAAAGTTTGAGAGACACGCAGTTCGAGCATAGACCCACTCCTACCGTTGCCCAAGCACCTAGCCCAGGTCAGGCATAGCCTGGAGGCGGGTCTTCTGTATGGCCTTAGCCACAAGCCCCAAACCCGAAGCCTCTTCGAACCCATTGAAAACATGAACTTTGTAGACCCTATAAGCATCACCCAAAGGACCATAAGAAGCCATCCACAAACGATATGAACTTCAATCTCCGAAACCTGCACTCTAGAGGGGATAACCTCAAACACGTCAAGTCTCTAAAGCGTCGAGCGAGGTAGTTCGAAAACGCAGCCGAGAGTGCTGAAGTGCTGAAGGTGCATATGTGCCACCGTCAAAGCAAAAGACCCAAGCTCGGAATCTGCACCGTGAAACAAACAAGCACCAAGATGTCACGCTTCCAAGGCTTCCACACAAACCGTTGTGAACACGAGAGCCCTGAGACGAGTGCAAGCTGCTTGTGAGCAACACTCAGACGCGCAACCGCATGTCGTCCTTTTCCAAAATTTAGTCGAAATTTTCAACTTTCAATCTCTTAAACTTTCGATCAATCTCGTCGATTTTTTTGAATCTTTTGATTCTTCCAAACCTGTTAACTCTCAAACCCGCGAACTTTGATGCGGTTCAAGCTTCAAACTCTCTAACTTTCGAGCTTTCGATATGTCAGGCTCTCGACCTCAGTGTTCAGCTGCAGACCGAACCCGAAGCTTGCAAACTCCAAAGGTTTGAATTTTCAAGCTCTCGAACTCTCAAATATTGAAACGGTCAAACTTTCAAACTCGAAACTGTCGAAACCCGTCAAGCCTTCGATTTTGGAAACTTTGCTCTCAAACTCTGAAACTTTGAGATCCGATCAAACTCGAGCGCAGCATGAAGAAACTCCCCGAGAAAGGATGAGAGCTTGAAATATTCGAATGCCCGCTGGCTTGCGCGACCAAGATGCCCAAAATTTCCAACGCCAGCACCCTTGAAGCCTGCGAACCTTCAACGACTAAAGCTTTCAAGCTTCAAAGCTTCAAGCCTTCAAACTCTCAAGCCTTCGGGAACGACCTCGCTCGGAACAGTAAGCAGGGTGCGGTTTAGGAGTTCCCCGACAACTCGAACAGGCTTAGCACAGCACGGCTGGTGGAGCTGGTGGTGCAGACCCAGGCTGCTCGCCTTTTTGTCCCTTGCGGCCTTGCACTTGCTGGGCCTCTCTGTGTGTGTGTGTGTGTCATCTTCAGGCGGATGGCTTCTCAATGCGCCTGCAGCAAGCACTGGGCCGTGCCCGTGCCGTCATGAGTCCGTAGAAGTCCGAGGGGCACTTGGAAGGAGAACACTCAACCGCCCGAAGCCAGACTAGCGCCCTGCGAGGCTTAATTTTACGTGTTTTACAAATGCTCACCAAGACTGTGAGCTGGCGGCTGGGCCCGCTTCGCCTGATGGCTTGGGCTTCCGGCCTCTGTTTTTTGTGCCGATTGCTCCGAGAGCCTCCGAGAGCTCCGAGAGCGCAGTGCGTTTTCCACAGATCGGCACAGTCTCTGTGCCGTGCCTGCGCCTCGGCCCTCGTTGCCTCCGGCAAACGTTGGCCTCCACGGCTCTTCAGCCTCGCCGAAAGGCCGTGCCAGCAAGGATGTTCAAGTGGCCCGCGACATCACGATTGCCCGGTTTGGAAGGGTAAACTTCCCTCGTCATTCCATTCTGAGTTGGCCAGGTCGCATCACTTGACTTCCACTGGCCTGCCTAGCAGTTTTGTGCGCGAACTTGTGCCCTTGGCACTGTCGCTCAGTTGATGACTGCGCGCTTGAGTGTCTGTTTCTTTCTGTTGTCGACCCTGCTGTACAGCCATCCTCTTCCAACGAAGGGTCTCGGCAGATGATCGTAACTGACGGAACCTTGAACAAAGACGACGACGTGGCCATGCTTGCAGCATGGGCCCTTCACCAAGATGGGATAGAGCGCCTGTGATCTTTACTGTCCGCAAGCGCCTATGCCTCAAAGCTTCAAGAGAGCTTTTCAGAGGTCGCACCATGTTAAGAAGACCTCAGCGACAAGTAAACAGTTCTCACTTTTGTTGTGTTGAAAACGAACTGGGCCATGGCACGTCGAGCCCTGAAACCGGTCGAGCGCCTGCAGGACATGCGCTTCGGCCTCGCAGCTTTAGACCCAAACGGTCCTGGTCTTCTAACCCAGATGACTAGCTGGTTGGCATGTGTGACTTCGCTGTTGAGGGGAGCGCGGGGTGCAGGAGGCCTTCGACGAGGCCAGTGGCGCCTCGAGCTCGAGGAAAGCTGGGTTTAGGGATCACCTTTTTGAGGTCTTCCTCCGGCCTTGGCGCTTCCCGGTGCACGTGCAGCGCCTGCACGGTCTCGCCGAGGAGACCGCCAGCTGCCCCTGTGCTCGACATCCCCAAATGTCAGGCCACAGTCTTCCATCCCCACTGAGAAGCCTACTCTATCATGAATGTATACTGTCATTTAATGTAGAGTTTTGTTTCGCTCTTGCAGGCTTACTGAAAGAATGAGGTGGTGACCTTTAATATGTAATTGATTGTGTAGATGAAATCGGAAATAACAATGGGTCGTCACAAGCATTACTTCCTTTCCGATGATGACGAAACTTTGAAAAGCTCATCACCCTTTCACGCCTCAGACACGTTCTGCCACCACGGATAGGGGTTCGCGGGGCGTACGTATGCAATTCGGCGATTAGGTATAATCGTCGAGTCAAGACTGAGATGAGCGATTCACCTCAAGAAGCGACGCCGAGACTAACCACGGCCTAAGATGAAGCATACTGATGTAGTGTGTGCAGGCAGCTTTTCGATATTCACAGAAAGAACGAGAGACAAGCAAGAAGTCAGCGCAGACAGACGGCAAAGCATAGAAGCAGCATAGAAGCTGACAGCAAGAGATAACTGGCAAGGCTTCAGACCAACGGCAAGGTAGTTGTGCTCTCAACTTTTTGTCTGAATGGTTTCCTGGTCCCGCAACGTTGGGACCCCACCGCAGCTAAAGCCCCGAGCGAGAAGAGAGAATTGAAGCGTTCACTAGTCGTGTCTGCAAGCTCACAGTTTCTGAAAGGTTTTCGCCGTGACGCAAGACCAACAGCGTGACGAGTTTTTTGTGTGTTGTAGCGGCCTGTGGATCATGCTTATAGTCGACCTCCACCCTGCAACCTTACGCCAAGCAAGTTCTGCAGAGAGCCTTTGGTCAATTTGGGATGATACCACCATTGTGAGGATAATGGATGCGGGAACCCTTGGGGTAGAACTAACGGGTGTAGCAGTATCTGAGAGGTGTGTAGTAGAGAGTCTAAGGATGATCGGTGACTGGTGTGGCTGGTGGTCTTGTTATATAAGCGGGCAAAGATTTTGCTACGGTTGGACGAGTTCGCATGGAGGTGCCAGATACCAGATGGATGCTCTGCTTGCAGGCGGAGCGGCGGCGGCGGGCCAGTGTGGTGGACCAGAGCGCCATCGCGCACGGTGTGGGGCTGAGCACGCGGCCAAGATGTCGCCGAACTAAACTCCTCAATCGCGTGCTGGAGGCCAGCGCTCTCTGCTGGAAGCCCGGAAGGCAGCGGAGGGCGGGGCAGTGGCCACGCCCAAGCTTTGCGTGTTCTTCGAGGTGGTCTATGCCATCGTGAGCCGGGACAGCCCGCATCTGCAGGCGGGCAGCTCTCGGCGTCTGTGTCAGTAGAGTCTGCGAGTGGGACTTTCCGAGGTCTGCGTCACGAAGGTCTCTTGCGCTCAGGCGGCACAGAAATTCGAAAGTCTCAGGCCTGCGCCCTTCCCGGCAGGATTTCTTGGAACGGGCAGCACGTGAGCTGCGTGCAACAGCAAGAGGAGGCTCCCACCAGAGCGATGCCGGTTTCGCAAGAAAGTGCGGTGTGTCTGAGGATTCAAAGTTTTGTAGAGAACCAGTGCTCACCGTGCATCCGGAGGTTCCTTTACACAGAGTTCCAAGCACCGCTACGGCGCAGCGAAAACAGGGTGCGGCAGTCTCGTCTCAGAACAGAACCATCCCTGCCACGTCTCGCAGGCTGGCCTTCCAAGCACCCGAGGTGCATCCTGGGATCTCTGGGATCTGATGGACTGTGGGCGGTCGTGGCACTGCAGGGGCTGCTCTTGTATGCCCTGGAAAGCCTGGAAAGCGCGGCTGGACTCGGTCTTGCGGTGTCTGCGTAAAGGCGGAGTGCGGAGAAGTGCGGAGCACTGAGGCCGAGCTGCCTTATCACCGTCTCTCACAGCAGCGTCTCCACCACTGGGTGCCGTGCCGTGGGAGGGAGGGCCGGGGCAGGGGCCGTCAGATGCCAGGCCAAGCTGTTGCAGGGCGTCACCACCGAGAATGCTGGAGACCCGCGCACGTAGTCGCCTTCTGATCATTGGAAGTCGTGTGGGACGTAAGGCAGTCTGAGGCTTGAGGACATCGTCCAGGACCTGACCAGCACAACTCGGATCAGGCAACTTCCGGACCCCATCTCCCTCGCCAAGTCGCCCGGGCCAGTCTGGACACTCGAGCACACCACCAAAGCAAGGCAGAAAATGCGAGCCATCGCACATTGACGATTCGGAGCAGTCACAGTGGCTGAGAACGAGGCCAGCAAGACTTGCATGCCGCAGCCATATTGTGGCCCCACAGAAGCATGCTTCAGCTGCAGCAAGGAAGAAACGGTTGAATCACGTTTGACATAGCGGCACAATGATTCCCGCCCACGAACATTGAGAGAAATGGCGAAATGTAAACCAGTCTTGAAAAAGTGCCTGGCGAGCCAAGCCATGCGAGCCCTTCAAAGTTGAAGGTGCGAGCATGCTCCGTGCTGCAGTAAACAACTGGAAACAGCTTAGGTCCAACATGGACTTCGATGATGAGAGCTTTGAATCAACGGGCCTTAGCAAGAGGGTGGGGCCTGCCTAGGGCCTAGGGGGTCGAGAGCTTCTGTGAAAGTGCGGCAGCTATCCGTGGAGGCGAGCACGGTGCGAGCTCCCGCACAAGCTCCTCTTGAACTTCCCACCTGGCAGGGTTGCTGAAGTTTTATGACACTGCTACGCTTGGCTCTTGTGAGGCGCCGAGAGGCGACGGAGCCTGTCGCGACACAAAGCTCGCCGAAGGAGAAGCCTTGTCCTCACGGATGCTCACTGGCTCATCCTCCTATCGCCCACTTGCTCTCGCTGAGGCGGCTCAACGAGGGGGGAAATGACCATGATCCGGGCGGAATGTTTATTCCACAGGCAGTGAAGGGAAGAAAAAGTCTGCGTTCTGTGGGCCAAGACTTTGGGCTCAGGATGCGCAGAAAGACTCTGTGAACTTCCTGCTCTGCCTGGTCGTTTGCCTTGGTCGCTCACAGCGACGCGCTGACGTGCCCCCGTTTCTGACTGAGGTTAACCTGTGCATGGGGCTGCTGACGCCCACCATGGTCGGACACTCGGACACGTCCTCCACGTCTGAGTGGGATAGCAGCGGGTCCAACTCGTCAGGTGGACATGTCCCGCACGGCCATGCAGTACCAGCCCGGTGGGCTAGGGGGCGCCAGGCATGCCCCCGCAGGGTCTCATCCTCTCAGCGCCGCGCCTCGTGCGACAGGTGCTTACCATATTCCACTGCTTCGGTAGTGATGGCGGAAGCCCTGGTGAATGTCGTCTTCGGCTATGTCGCCATCCGGCCGCTGGATGCAGCTACTGCAGTGCATCAATTGTACACTGGTATACATGGTCTTGCCCTCCACGACGTCTCAGGAACAAGCAGGGTAGCCTGGACAAACTTTGGGATTGGAAGTGCCACAAGGAGTTCGTCGTGCTCACTGTGGCCGGAGCCTGACGCATTCGCGGGCCTTGTTCTGGGCATGTCTGTCACCCTGCCTCTCCAGCCGCTGGCCTCTTTCCTAGACCTACTGCCTGGGCGACGTGGTGGCCCTCTGTGCGATCGGCAGAGGCGGAGGCCGGAAGGGTTGTGGGACCATAGAGCACGTGGCGCGTCACATGCGAGCCGTGGTCTCAGGGCTGCTCTTCATCACCATGAATAACTCGAGGCCTGGTCGCTGCGAGGCTGCGAGTTTTTGCTGTGCAACTGCGACGCTGCAGGCTGCTCTTTGCTGCCGCAGCATCACACTGCATGATGTGTCCCAGGCGCATCTCAAGAGGCTTTGCGGAGACAAGGGCTCTTTACTGGAGATGGTGTCAGGTCTGCCTCGGAGTGGTCTATCCTCTTCGCCATCTTTCTGTCCCTCATTTGCTTTGCAGTGCGGCCCTATCGAGTGCGGCCTCGTTCAATGATGTCCGTTTTGGCACACGCAGGCTGAAACGACTTCCGGGCAGGAGGTAGAGCTGAGAAGAGGTGTGGTGCTTGGGCGACGTCGCCTGCCGATGAAATCGGGGCGCTGTGGGGAAGGCACGGTCTATGCCAGTGGCGCGGGGCTAAGGGCATCGCTCCATGTCGCTCCTTTAGGGTGTTCTCTGCGCGCCCTTCGCTCTGCTAGGCCTGGCGATGTGCAAGGCCGGGCTGTCGGCCTTGGCTGCGGTGATGACGGAGCGGCGCCTCAAGCACTGCCAGTGCTGGCCCTGGGCCCCGAGAGCGAGAGAGGGCCACGAGCTCTGTTGTTGCAGACGGAGGTTCACGATGATGGAGGCGAATACTTTGCTGAAGATGCAGAGCCTTATGGCATGGGCCCCGAAAAAAGGAAGATAAGCAGAGAGTAACAGAGCCAAAATGGGACGTCTCAGGTCGCTTTTCTGGTCTTCACAGTCCAGATGCTTTTCCTGGAGGCAATCGCAGCTCGGGCTTTATCGCTTGGTCAGCCGTCGCTTCAAGCGCAGGATCTCTGCCCAGAGGACAAGGCACTTGTGACCGCCCCCTGTGTGGACAGGAGGTGCCAAAGCAGAGGTTGTGCGGCATGCGGAGCTGCGTGAATCTGCGAGACCGGCGCTGACCAGGGGCTGGGATAAATACACGGCCTTCGTGCTTTTTGCGGAGGACGCCTGATAGCCGCATTCCACGCCACCGCTACGCGGGGGTGCGCTGTGCAGGTGGGCAACGGCTGGCTGTCGGTGGCTATCCTGGCACGCACTTCTCTGAGTGTGCGGAGTGAGCGGAGTGAGTTGAGTGAGTCGAGTGAGTCCAGCGAGGAATGTCCGCGATTGTGAAGTTCGTCTGCAAGGCGGCCGCAGCGCCAGAGGCCAAGCGCAGCCAAGCGCAGCCGAGCGCAGCCAAGCGCCTGGGGGAGCCTCGCGGAGAGCGTCTGAGGCCCAGTTTGTACGTGGTCTACGTGGCCACGAACTTCCGGCAGCACCACTTTGAGGTCCGCCGCTCGACGTGCGCGAGCGCGCGCGCACGCGCTCCGTTTTCTCCTCAACCCTTGGAGCCCCAGACGGCTGCAGACAGCAGACGCATCAGATCAGATTTGTCCCACTTTGTGCTGAGTGTTTTGTTCAATACTTGTAACATTTCCTTGTCATCCTGTCACTTCCTCGTTCAAGGGAAATACCCTATGTAACCTTATATACCCCTTATATAGTCTCATAAGGGTCTCTCCTTTAGTCCTTTATCCTCGGCGCTTTCCGCGCACTCCGCCAGTGGGCGACCTTCGTGCCGATCCTCGTCATGACAGCCCCGGGCCCGGCCTCATCCTCGCAAAAATGGCGTATAAATGGGGACCCACGCTCACTTCTGAGGGCCTCATTTGCCTCTATGCCGAGCCACACTGCTGCTGTCGACCACGCTGCTGTCGACCACGCTGCTGCCGTCGAAGAGAGCCTCCGCCGGATAAATGGGCCGGCAATTATCCTGGCAAATCGTGAGGATTTCTCAGGTGCCATCGAAGGGACTTCCCGAATTCCGGTTGTCCCTCCCTTGGACACAGGGTGATTCATGTTCCTATATCGCAAAACGATTTTCCCACCGTTTCGAAGCGTTCCAATCTGTGGCCTTTGGCACACCAATGCGTGGGCTTGTGACGTGTTGTGGCCATCCTGCGACGGCAAAGCATGGCGAATGCCACGACCAAGGAAGCCAAAGAATGCAGAGCGGCTGCTAAACAACACATATCCTAAGCTCTTGGCTTGGGGCATCTGCATAAGCCAGGAACATGCAGCCGTTTGGCACGCCAAAAAGCCATGGAGCGTCTTTGGCTTCTGCTCCTCCCCGCTACTAGGGCGGTGCTTTGGACAAAGATGTGTATGTGGCTGTTTGAGGTTAGCCGGAACTCTGCTCCCAGTTCCAGACTTGAGGTCGTGCATGATGCCTACTTCATTGACTCCCTGCAGAAAAACAACGAAACGTGGCGTGCCGAAGATGCTGAGATCAACCGAAAGCTGAATGCGCTGGAGCCTCGCCAAAAAACCGAGAAGACCTGCTGCTTCTCGCATTGCAGAGTGAGTTTCCTTGGCTGAACATTGCGACATTGCACCAAGGAAGCTCGATTCCGAAAGAAGCCCAACATCATCTACATCTTAGCAGCTTGCTGGTTCTCAGTCAATCAACATCCGCTAGCAGGGTTGGTAATTTCATTCAGAGGCCTTAAACATGTGCCTTGTTTGGCTAACAAAATCATACTGTCCTCGCATGTCCAAAGAAAGCTTTTTAACGTAAGCCCTCGTGTCCTGAGGCCTGTGTAAACAACCCACGCACCCGGAATCTGGACAAAGCAACTTCGATCATGTGATCCAGCATCTCGAAATATATGCTCGCAATAGACAGCAGGCGGCAACTGTTTTGTCCGTGAGCCCTAGAAGCGAGATAAGGCTAAGCATGGGACAGTCTAAGCCTAAGCTGTACTGAGATTTGGCAAAGCATGGGAAAGTACTAAGCTCCAAATCAACATTATGTTGTGGAGCTACAGAGCAATGGGGGCATGTGAACGCGCATACACTATGCTTTTTTGACAGGTGGAGAAACGGTGGCAGGATAGCTGCTTCAGAAGTGAAGCGATGCATGTCGCGTCATGCACAGAGGCCGTGGATCTGAGCATGCAAGTCCCAACCCCGTGTCGGGATCCTCCCGGCAAGCCCAAGGACAAGAGCATGGCGGGACTTGCCTTCTCACATCCACCTGGTGCATGACGCGACATGCATCGTTTCACTCCTGACGCAGGGCTCAAACAAACATGTTGTATGTTCACATGCAGTGTTTTCTTGCGGCGCCATGGAAGCGGAAGCTTCACAGCATGTTGATGTGGAGACGAGCTTAGTTAGCGAGGCCAAGTCCTCCCCATGCTACGCCTGATCTGCTTACGGTATACCGCGAGCACGTTTTTTTCAAGATGTTAGGCCACACGTTTCACGTTCATGGTGTGTCCAAAGCCCTATGGTGTGAGTGTGTAATTGTGCTTGCAAATGTTTTCCCCATACAGTAACTATGCCGCGTGCATGTCGTTTCTGCATCAAGCGTCCGGGCTTGTCTTGTCCAGGTTCCTGGGCTGTGTCGACTATGTGTACTGTACTGCCTAATTCGGGTCCCGCGGTTTCACGCTTGCAGAGCTTAGTGTTTACGGTCTTCCTGCTTGTCGCAGCACAGTTTGGAACAATGCGATTTGTCAATGAAGGCAAGCCATCATAAGCACCTGTGCGCACAAACCCTGTTGACTGCTGAGCACCAGCAAGGCAGACGACATTGGCTGGGGCGAGCTGGGATGGCAGGGTGGGGGCAAGCACCGTGGTACACCCACAGATGGATTGGATGCCATGGCCTTCGAGGGCATGCGGTTTTGGTCTTCCTACGCCGAGCCTTCCGGCACTCCCTCCAGTGCCTTGTCGGGCTTGGCGTTTTTTTGTAAAGAAACAACAACTGTGACCACTGTCAGGAACGGCTATCATGACAGGCCGCCACCCTGTGCGGACGGGTCTATTGAAGGCGCAAGCGACCTGTGGCACTCGGGCTGTCACTGGGATCCTAGGGTTCAGGTGCTGTGGCCTGGCCAGACAGACGGCCTCTCGCAGGAAGAGTTCACCCTAGCCGAGGCTCTTATGGGACTTGGGGTGTTGTTGCCAGTTTCTGGGTGCTTTTGAGAGGCGCTCTCGGCGGCCGGTTACCATACGGTCGCCTGTCCTGTGCTGGCGGCACGGTTCGTTTCTTTCTCCCGAATACGACGAACTGGAAGCCGAGGCGATGTGGGGCAAGTGGCGTGGAGGAACATGGGGCCGCTCTTCAGACTTCAGCTCTCTGCCCTCATGTGAGGCCTATCGAGAAGAGACGGGCATCGACCTCTCGGAGCGGCGGCCCCCCCCGGGAAAAGTCCTCTCTCCCTCTCTCTTTGGCAGAGGAGTGCGCCTTCGTGGGACGCCGCGGAGAGCCGCGGCAGCGCCTCGAGGGCCCGGCCGGGACGCTGGGCCCCCGCAGGCGCCCCGCGCGGCCTCTCCCAGCCCCAGCCGCCCTCTTTCTCTGCGGTTGCCAAAACCCGGTGTTCTGACTGGTGGGGGCAGAGGCAGGAGTACTTCGAAGAAGAGTCCATCAATCAGATCACCAGGCACAATCAGCAGACGAAGGTGGAAGCTTGCGGCCATTTCAAAAGTCTCGGAGGTACGTGCGGGAGAAGGCCAAAGACGAAAAGCCCTTCTTCATCTACTGGGCGACCTACACGCAGCAACTGCAAGGCGCCGTCGCCTCGTCATATCGAAGCCCCAGCTTTCCTCAGAGCGCAGAGCCTCAGGTTCGACACCGCAGATGAAGGATCCACATGTCGACAAGGCAAATGCGCAGGCGTCGATGATGGCAGCGCACAGCAAGTACGTTACTCGGCTACTGGAGACCTTGCAAGATGTCGACGCCTCAGGAAAGCCACGTTGCTCGTAGCTTTGCTCTCCTCACCCCCACTTGTCTTTCAGGAGGGCATCGCGGAGAACACCCTGGTAGTTTGGCGGGGCGTGCTCGTGTTCTCTGAACATATGAAGGGCACGTCACGCGGCGCTTTCGGCCAGGTTCAGCGACAACGGGCCAATGTATGCCTTCTTCCCGAACTCAGGCAGAAAGCCTCACAGGGTGCCCCACGACAGAAGAAGTCCCGTTTCAGGCTACTCCTGGCTGCGGGGCGGGAAGGGCACTGTGCTGGAGGGTGGCGTGCGGGTGCCGGCGATGGCCTGGTGGCCGGGGATGATCCAGCCTCGGCAGGCATGGACGTCTTCTGGAGCGGCTCAGCGCTGCTCCATTCTGCCTTTGTGATGTCAGGATCCTGTGGACCTGCTCCACCTCACCGCACTCCGCCTGCTTTGCTCTGCTTTCCTCTTTGACACGGGCACTTGACGTTGCTCTCGCTCTCGCTTTTAGGATCTTTATACCACGGCTGCTCGCCTGGGTGGTGCTTTGTCCCACATACCCGAGGAGATCGCACGCAGCAGACATCGTTGCGCTCTCTTCTGGTTCCTTGTTTCGGCAGGATCGCGTCTTGGACGGCGTCGACCAGGCCCTTGCTGCTGGCCCCCGGCTGCGCCCCAATCACCGGCTCCTCCGAACAGGCCCCGTTGCTCCTCCTGGGCGAGGGCCATGGGCGGAGGAGCCTGGGTAACGGGAGGGAGACCTGCCCCCAACGCAAAGCAAAGCAAGGCAAGCGCTGCAACATGGGAGGACCAAAAACGCTCATGATTCAAAAAGCAAACCTTTTAGGAGCACGATATTCCACTACAGCGGCAGTGAGTGGGGTCCCTGGAAAACGAATGTGCCGTGGACATTTCCTTGGGCCCATTGACCATACCTTGCAAGGTTGGGCGCGATTCGCCACAAAGACTTCAAGGTCCACTTGAAGGAGAGCAAGGGAGGATTGCCGAACATGGAGTTCTACAACGTCAGGAGGGACCCAGGTGAGAAGTACGGAGAGTTTTACAAGGGGCTCTTTGCAGTAACGCCGATTCAGCGGACGGTCCAGGCCCACAAGAGGCAGATGCATCGGTTTCCGAATCGGGGCGAGCTCGGCGAGACTGACATGGGATCTTGCCCGCCGCATGCTTGATGTTTTAACACTTTTAAGACACTGGCGATTTAAAAGCAAGCGGCCAGTACGTTGGCTGCAGTTTGAGGTTCTAGTTGTAATGCGGTCACCACTACCGATTTCGGGATGCTGGGTGCCTGCGCCGTCGTGCGGGCAAAAGGCCTTCCGCAAGCTGCCAACAGCTTTCACGATGAGAACTGCATCAAGTGCATCGAAGCGCTGTGAAGCTCTGCCATCTTCCAGCTTCAAGAACGGAGCCCTGGCATGCGGCAGCGGCGCCTATGCCGACGAGCAGAGTGCTTTCGCAGAGCCGAGACGACTCTCCGAGCCCGAGCCCGAGCCGCGGAGCAGAGATGCGATTCGATGCGATGCTTGCGCGATGTTTGCGTCGTTGTTTGCTCACCGAGGCCTTGGCTCCGGTTCGAAGCAGCGGCCGGGCAGACAGGCCGAGCCCCGCGTGCCGGCGAGTGTCTACGCAACGAGGGGACATACGACGTGTGCCACATCATGCCACATCGAGCGTTCCCATGCACCAGTCGAAGCTCCGCCCCACAGCAGGTTCGTCCGCTTGCAACGTCAACGACACGAGGGGGAATGAGCCACGAACTAGAACGTGACGAAAACCAAAGCCCAAGAACACCACCGGGTTCCATTCTTTTGTCAGGAACTGCCGTGGCGAATGCAATGCCAGATCGTGCAGTACAGCTCACAAGGGTTCAGAGAGACACAATATCGAGAGAGAGAGAGAGAGGTGGTCGGAATCCTGACGAAAGACAGGTGGTTGTGACTGTGCTGAAGCAGAGGTGGTTGTGGGTGTTTGCATGCAGTGGCATCGTGTGTGTGTGCATTGGGGTCATCGCACGCGCGGGGCAGGTGCAGATGAGGTGGGAGGTGTGCGGCACAGTAGGATACAACAGGTGCTACCCTCATCTTGAACAGCCGTTTCGTGCGGAACCGAAAGACCAGTGTGCATCGCACAAGGAGGTTTGCAGCTCCACTTTCCTTTGTCGCGAGCGGTGCGCAACACCCTAAGGGCAGGGAAGCCAGCAAGCAGCTGCGATGGGGCAAAGTGTGATGATTCCAGTGATGATCATCTTTGGAAGGTGACACTCAACGTTTTGAGCAGCACCCAATGTTTTGAGAACGATGCGTGACATTCCCTGCAGCACCAGCAGCAGGGGGGAAGTGTGCAAGGCCCGTAGAAAGAAAGCAGAAGGGAGCGAGCATTGGTAGCCGCTTACAGTCTTCCGGCGGTGTGTTCGAATTCTTCTCATAGTCGGACTTTGGGCTGTCCAGGCTCAAGCGAGATCGAAAAAGCGGCACGGCCACAGCGGCAGCCACGGCTTCAGAAGACGTAGAAGTGGACTGTAGAGTCACTGTAGAGCCAGTGGGAAGCCGACGAGCAGCGTCGCCAAGGCGTTGAAAGGCTGCTGATTTGGCTCGAGGGCGACGAGGTTCGGAGTTCGGAGTTCGGGCCGGTGGATGGGTCTGGAGCCCAGCTGAATGTCACCAGGACCTCTTCTACCGCAGCTCCCCACTTGAACGCAGCCTTACCATCGGGATCTTTGGGATCTTGGTCCTGCCCCAAGTTCAGCAAGCAGAGTTAGGGTACACATCTCGTTTGGTGTCACGACGGCTGCGACCGTTTCTCCACACCCCGAGTTGGCAAGGGAGATAGATAGATGTGGGCCTGATGTGGGTGTGTGTGGGCGTCTATCTCTCCGAGTGCGCAGCGCAACGGAACAGAGCGCACGTCTGTAGGCACAGGTGGGCAGGAAGATGCAGGTACGTAGGTATGGGAGGGAAAAAGGGAAGGTAGGAATGAATGTATGAATGAATGAGTGTATGTGTGAGGGCCTCTTCATTCATGTTGTAGACGGTGCTGTCATCGTTGCAGGCTTTCGTGTCCATGCATTGTACAGCAGTGCGACCAGCTCTTCTGCTGCCTGAAATCTGATGATGACCATATGGTGACAGTCCCGGTTTGCCCCCGGTGTTTCGGCCTTCGGAGCCCTTGGGGAGCTCGTTCTTCCTCGACCTTCTAAGGGCCGGAGTTCGGGGCTCGGTCCGGAGCTCGTCCTCCGGGCAGCTGCAGCTGCCGTTGGTGATGGGCGGTTGGGTTCTCATGCCGTTGCACGGGATGAATTCTGCTGGCCTTGCTGGCGGCCGCCCGCCCGCCACCCCTGTCCTCCCTGACGTGTCCTTGGAACCCATTGGCTTGTGTGGTAGCAGATGCTGGATCTCTGCCGTTGCGTTCAGTCTTGTCCTCCCCGTGCTGCGCCGACTTGCTACTGGCTTGCTTCATGCTGCATTCTCGGACAACAGCGGCGCTTAATGATTTAATGCCTCGTTGCTGTGGGGCACTCGCTCCTTTCGCGCGAGGCCTGGCTCCTTGCCTGTGCCTCGACACCTGCAGGGTGCCCACACTTTGATGTTGCCGACTGCTGGCACCATGCAATTGCCTCGGCGCCCAAGCATGCATCATGGTGACCCCCTGGTGCCTCCTGCGCCAAGGGTTGCGACACGGTCTCACAGGCCGGTTCCTAGACCGTGTCGTGCATTCTTTAACTGATGGGGACCTCTCGTTTGTGGGCCCCTACCCTCCTTCAGGCGGCCGTCCGATTGGAGGTCCGATCATGCCCTCATGCCACCGGTATCTTGCGTCTCGCTGTGTTGGATACCGCGTCTTCATCTCTTCCGGCTCCGGCGCTGCCTAGCCCGGATTGGTGTGGTACTGCGCCTTGCCGCGAAGGGCCAGCGCTGCTCCCTCTCCTGTGGACTTCCTGCTGATCCGGCGGTTTTTTTGGGGGCGAGTGGCTTCAGAAATGTGTCGATGCGTCTGGCACGTCCTGACTCGTGTGGCTGCCTGAACCACTGCCACAGCCGTGCAAGGGGAAGCTTGGCTCAGGTCCGATGGTGTGCCCTCCCACTACATCCCACCACGGCTGTACGTGTACAGTGCATGGTGTTGGTTGTGAACAGGAGCTTCTGGTGAGCTTCTCAACATAGCTGTGTTCGCGCAGCAGAGGTAATAGCACTCGCAAATGTGCTTCAGGTGTTTATGCTAGGCACAACTAACGATGTGGGCGATGCATGAACACACGGAGATTTGCCAGCGCAGCACACTGCAAGGGCTTGCTCTGCTCTGCTCAGCTCATCTCACGCTCATGGCCGTCTTCAGGTTGCCAGCGTGGGATTCACGGCACTGTCCAACTGCAGCTCAGCTATGCCTTCGTCTCCGCTCTCCGCTCGGCTCTGCTCCGCTCTCTGAGGTCTCAGCGACCGCTGCGTGTTGGAGCGAGCGCGCAGGCAAAGCTTGGCCTTGGAGGTGGCGAGGCCGGAGAGCCGCGGAAGTGGGGCCCTCTTTAAGAGGCACCCCAGCGCGGCTTTGCGATGGCTTGGGAGGCTCCGCGGTGAGCTGAGCGTGCACCCCGTGCACCCTGCCCGGAACTCAGAGGGAGCACATGCGCGAAAGAGCGCGCGGGGCCCACAGCCAGGGAATCTTGCCGAGGCCTTGGCCTCTGGCGCTTTCTCTGCAGGCAGCGCAGCAGAGACAAAAAGAGCAAGGCGTGATTTCTTTCGCGATGCCTCGGTGTTTGGACAGGAGAAGACCTTCCGCAGAGGCCGAGAGCTGTGAGAGCTGCGAGTTGCGAAAAGACATCATTCCCCTCGGCGCTTTCTTGTCCCTGAGGCCAGAAGAAGCCGCTTATGCCCCTGCGTTTCACCTGCGCGGGGCGGTGACGGCGGAGAGCGCGGCCGACGTGGCCACGGCCGACGGAGCCGATCCCTAAAAAAAGAGCCTCCGGGAGCGCCCTCTCTGAGTCCTTGCATTGGGCTTGAGCCGAAGCCGCCGAAGCGGGACTCCACATAGACGGGGCCAAAAATTGAGCAATTGAGCATCTCAGAGCTTTTGGAGTTTGATTGAAGACTTCGCTGGATAGCCGCCAGCCGCTTCTCCTGCCGTTTTGGCTTCCTAGAGCTGCCGACGCTGTTTCGTCGGTTTCCGCCCAGCGCCCGCACGGCCCACGCGGAGACGCCGAGGAAGTGGCGGAAAGCTTTGCCATGGCCGGGGGCCCGGGCGGCCCGGGGGGGGTGCTTTTCCTTGGGCAGAGACGTTCTCTGGTCGTTTTATGCCAGGTCCGAGCTTTGGCTTTGGCGGCCGGGGCCTCTCTCCCCCCTGGCAAAATATATGTAGGAATGTAGGACTAGACGACTCCTCAAGTCTCGATTTCTCAGGCTCTGGCCGCTCTGGCCCGAGCGCAGAACTGGCCCGCGTGTCAGGTGCAGCCTTGAGGTGCGACTGGTGGGACTCCCAAAGCTTGGACTCGCCAGGAGCAGAACACTGTGATTCGAAACGCGGGGAAGGCGCTCTTCACGAACCTGCAAGGTGCGGCCACCGTGGCCTCCCAAGAGCAAAGCAGCAAAGAGAGAGGAAGACGGAGAGGTTATGGCGCAGTCATCGGCTGCTTCCTCGACGATTGCATGAGTACCAGCCCTGGGCGCTCTTGAGTTTTGTGGCGAGGTCTTGACTTGCAGTTTGCTGAGGCAGCGACAAATTCGTGGCCAACGAGATCGAGTCCTGCGCAAAGGCCAGAGTCTTAACAACTCGGGTGCCTGCTTGGTCTGGTGATGGTGTTGAAGGTGTGCTTCTCCTTGCCTGAGCCAGCGCCTTTGGAGGGGATCAGCCGGGGAGCAGATGGAGCAAGCATTGCAGAGGGTCGCTGGACTTTTCTCGTTTCAGGTGCACTCATTGGGTGTGCGTCCAAGCTTTGTGGATGAGATGGCTATTCGGCTGTTGCATGCGATTTTATTGCTGAGGTGTGGGGAACCGAGGAGGGTGAGCAAAAGTGCAGGGCCCAAGCAGCGATGCGAAGGGCTGAAGCGACTAGTCTCTGTGCTGCCAGGTGCTGGTTCCGAACCGGTGACGACGGACGGGAAGCAGGTCGAGCACTGTGGAGTGGTGTGCGGGGCTTTGCACAGCAACCTGCGTGACGCTGGGTTTTGGAGGCGAGGGCTGGATCTCCGGGTCCAAGAGTTGCTACCCACCTGGCACGACAGCCGCGAGCCGAGCCGGGAGGCTAGAGCGAAGCGAGGCTAGAAGCGAGGCTGAGAGGCTGCAAATGCCTAGCACAAGCTTACTTCGCACATCTTCGCACCTTCGCCCAACGCTCCACGAACGCCCCGATCGGTCCATAAAAGAGCGAGAGACTCTTTGTGTCTCCTCAGGAGACAATGGCATGGCCTTCAAAGCCTTGCTTTGGTGCTTGCGTCACCCCAGGTGCTACCCTTGGGCAACTCCGAGTGCCCGAGACTCGTGGAGCATGTCGCAGATGTCTCAATGTGCAGCCTGCGGGCAGACCTCTGGTCAGGCTGGGCCGAGGGCTTCGGCTATGAGAACTGCTGCGAAGCGAAGCAAACCTGCCGAGACGTTCGTACTCAGTCAGCATGTCTCCTAACTGTAGAGGTGTCTTTAACAAATTGCCGCGACTCCTGGCAGGGGTCGAGATGTCGATTCTTCCGTTTGTGTCGCCAGGTTTGGGCCCAACGGCAATGCCCAGTGCTGGGATGGCGTCTACAATTACGACCGCCCGGGCTCCCAAAGAGCACCGTAAAGAGGATCCCAGAGTGGTAGACATTTGGGTTCGAGAGAGATTTTGGCTCGGGGGCGCAGACTGCAAAGCCGGAGACTACTCTGAAACCACGTGGGTACCCAAAGTTTTTGCTTGTTTTCCCAGATGCCCGGCAAGAAGGCACCCGTGATGGTCTTGTTTGTGGGGGCGAATGGGTTCCAGAGTTCTATGTCTGTGCTTGTTTCCGAGGTCCCAGTTCTTGCTTCACATGTGTAAACACTGGTGTCGTGCTGTTGTTCGCTCTTCGGAGCCGGCTTGCCGGCGTGGCCCAGTCGAAGCCCGAAAACATACATACATACATACATACATACAGACATACAGACATACAGACATACAGACATACAGACATACAGACATACAGACATACAGACAGACAGACATACATACATACATACATACATACATACATACATACCCACATACCCACATACCTGCATACCTGCATACCTACATACACACACACATATATATTTATTATATATATATAGCTATATATCTGTATATCTATATATCTGTATGTCTATATCTATATATCTATATATCTATATGTCTTTTTGTCTATATCTCATATCTATATATCTATATATCCATATATCTATATATCTCTATTGCTATATCTATCACATATACATATACACATACGCACAGACGTACACACTTGATGCGTGCTGTACAACTTTGTTCCATGTGTTTGCCGGCTGAACGCCCGAGCCAACGTGGTACACCCGAGAGTTGTTACGGGCTCCTCAATCCGGTTCTGCCGTGTTGCAGCGCGAGACAGTCGAAACCCCTTTTGGAGAAGTACCTGTGAGTTTGTCATAGCTCCTCTGCGAAGCAGAGCACGGCTCGGGGCGAGGCATCGTTCACAGGTGAAGGAGACCACCTTGTAGATGCCCCAATCTAAGAGCGTGGAATGCTTCGAAAGACGTCCAGTGACCAACCGTTGGGGGCCCGCGTGTCAGTATGCTTCGTTCTTTGAAGTGCTGCTCTACGTGATAGATACCCGATTCGCAGTGACAGCCATTAAACTCTTCTCGACTTGCTGCGAGGAGGGTCTGCCCTGTAGAAGTATGAAGGCTAGCCTCAGCCGATCGGGGCGAGGAGTGCTACTGCCCCTTAGCCCGAGAAACCCTCAAGCGCGCGCGCGAGGGAGGGAGAGAGACGGAAAGGGAGGTGTGTGAGTCAGTAAAGATCATATCTTTGCTCTCACATGCGTTGAGTGGCCGAGGCTGTTGCTTCCCAAAAGAGGAGCTCTAGGCACGGTGTTGATATGACAGAGCGAAGTACTACCGATGTGTTGCTCCTGCCAGGATTCTGGATGCGTGCGTGTGAGAGGGGGATGGGGTGGGCAGGCTGTGGCATGGCACGAAGCGCCGAGAGCGCTTGACGGTCTCGGGGCAGCCCCAAAGGCCCCAAAGTGATTACCCAGGTGCCAGGAGAGATGTGACCGTGCCGTAGGAAGCACATGGTGCGGAGCGGTAGGGAGGCACCTGGACCCGAGCTGTGTGCAGATTGCGCCGAAGGATTAGACTAGACCAGTTAGTACACAAGCGAGTGGTCGCAGAAAAGCACATGCGTTCTTCTGCCTCGAAGCTGAGATGGCGGTGCAAACGGCTTCGTGATGACAGTAATACAGCGATGAATCAGTTTCGGCCGGAGACATGGAGTATCACACATGACGGAGGGCCATGAGCAGGTTCACGGAGTCATTGTAACTGAGCTGTGGACCGAGCGGGCTGCACGGTGCGCGCCGAGTAGGAGAACTCCCTCAAATGTTGGCTCACCCCTGACTCTTGACATTCGCAACAGCAAGGGCAGCAGGAACATTGTGGCCTCTACATGCAGGGCGCAATCCAATGCTGTGCGCCCTTCGGCAGCTGTGCTTCGGAGGCCAGATCTCTCTTTGGTCTGTTGTCTCTCTTTTATAAAGCGCCACAGGCTCCAGAGCCTTGCAAGAGTAGCTGCCTAGGTGACGTGATGCTTCTGGGGGTTATAAGCTGAGTAGCAGTTTCATGAATATCGGTTACACTGACTCCGACTCTGTTACCTGCGATGTCATCACGAATGGCATCATCAGCTCAAAACCCAGGCTCGACGATCCTCAAGGGACAAATTCTTTGTGGCCATGTAGCATCCAACGCATGGGTAAAAGTCCCCCACCCGTGCCTGCTTGGCCAAAGTCCCTGTTAGGTTAGACTTTGTTGTCATGGTTTACATGCTTGATCTGGAGGATGGATGGCTGTTGTTCGGCTTGCTGTACTGCTTCACTGTTCTGACTCGCCTTCAAGCGACACCCAACATTAGGCGACATGCCATTCTCCAGGCTGCGGGGGTCTCTAGGAGAAGGGGAAACACGAAAAGATGTAAGTTCGGCGGGCGTGTACTGCTCAGCTGGGACGAAGGAGAAGAACAAAGACAGAGAGAGCGACACCTCGAGACTAGCTGCGTAAGTAAGAGAGTGCCTGACTTGTGCTTTGGCTTTCCTTACACCGCCCTAAGTACCTCTTCTCGCATCTCCTGGCCTTCCGGATGCCTGACAAGGAAGTCGTGGTGTGCACGAGCAGCGGCGAGGCAGTACACACGAAACAGGTCGGCATTTGCCGTGGACATCTTGCTTGCTTCAGAAAGGTCGAGAATGTCGAGGGCTTCATGCATGTGATCGATGAGGAGGAGGCGGGTGTCGATGCCGAGCAACGCCGTTGGTCTGCTCTGTAGCTCGGATGTGATGGCAGGACGTGCCATTGCTGTCATGCACACGTCCGAGGCTCAGAACGGTTCCCCCAGACATCTTGTGCGCAAGAGTATGAGCGCCCGCCGCAAGTTGAGCTATTAGACAGGTGGCCTGGTGACCATTGCCGACTACGTCACGGAGCTGCAGCCAGAGGAAGATGGAGTGCATTGCTTGGCTTGCCTCAGCTCGGCCTATGGAGGAACTGCATGGAGATGTTCATTCAGCTTCGGCTTAGGTCGATGCGTTCCCGCTGCCTCACCCTGCAACGTCCTCTATGCCGCCGGACGGATTCACCGCTACTGTGGCCACCCAGAGTGCAAGGCCCCCAGTCCAAGAAGCCGCGCCTCAAGAGTAACAGAAACCTTTCCGTTCGTGCCGAGGTCACCTTCACCGCCGTGGTACCTGCCGATGGTTCACCGATCCTTGTGGCTGCCTTGAACTAGCTGCCTAGCTCAGCTTGGCTGGGCTCTTTAAGAAGCGGAGCTGCGACCCTGTGAGGTCGAGATCCAGGACTTCAAGCTGGAGGCGGGGCTCCGGCTTCGGCTTCGGCGATCTCCTCCCTTTCGCGCTTCTGCGACCCGGGGCGACACAGCGAGGTGAAAGCACCCCCAGAGTCCCGGCCGGGTGAGTCGGAGACTTGAGATGTCCAGAGCGCTTGAACGCCAGCGCGGCGTCCGCCGCCCCGTTGCGTGAGAGGCGGGTGACGTTCGACCTGAGTGCACCTCCCAAGTACCAGGTGAAGGTGGGAGCGAGTAAAGCTGAGAAAACCCGCAAAATTCGCTTCCCGCAGGTGCCTCCAGGTCCCGCCCTCGTGGCCCTCGCTGCTGTCTCCTCCGCCTTTTCCCTTGTGGCCTTCCACCCGAGGCTTCAGCTCGGGTGGCTGCATCCGGTATCTGGACAGCCCGGAGCCAAACGCTCTGCGAAGCTCTGCTTTAGCGCAGCCTCTCGCTCCCTCCCCCTCTGCATCAGGCCAAGGCAGGTCCGTGCAGTTTCAGATTCCAGCAGGCGCCCCCTTTTCGGCAAGGGCCAGGGCCCGCCCAAAATTTACAACCTACTTTGCATCTGCAGGCAAAGGGCCTGGCGATTCCTTCACGGTCTTGCCCACGTGCATGGTCGTGCTTGTGCGGGCCCGAGTTCAAGCGCCGTGAGAAGCGATTTCGCTTGACCTGAGGTGCCGCCTTCGGTGCAAGCCGGGGAGTTTCTGGCCTTCAAAGGCCAAGGCAACTGGAAAGACTCCTGGCTTGCGGTCATGGTTCCGCCCGAGCCCGGGCCCGAGAGCGGGGCCCGAGCGATTCGCCTCTGTGTGGAGCTTTCACACGCGCACTCTGCTTTTTTTTTTTGAAACGAAGAGGATCGCACCTGGAGGGCATTTCCCAGTGAGGCGCAGCCCCGGCCCGGCCCCGGAGAGCCTCTTTTCGAGTTCGCTCGGCCCGCAGGCTGCCTCCCAAAGAGAAGCGGACAGGCCCTCGCCCCCGAGCGCGCGAGAGGAGTTCCCGCATTCGTGCCTGACAGGTACCTTGACAAACAAGGACCTCAATGCCATCTCTATCTTTGGCTTCAAGGTGTAGGTGTGCAGTAGTGGATGGAGCCGTAGGCACTTGGTGATCCAGGGGTTTATTCGGAGTTTGAACCGCACAGCGCAATTCAAATCTCAGGCACAACCTGTGTTTGCGCACTCTTAATTCAGAGAGCTGCCAAAGGCAACCCATGGAGAGGCTGAGGCTTGCGAAGATGCAGGAAACGGTGTGGCCTTTTGGTTTTTACCAGCTCTGCATACATGCGCTTTATGCTGATACTGGAACTAATACTCGGTCCGAGCCGCCCGAGCGTTGGCTGCAGTGAAAGCGTGGAGCAGCCAGATCTCCGTTCTTTAGCACTTCCAGGTGGGCACTGCTTATCACACACACACTTACGCGCATGTGTATAGTAGAGTAGAGTATGGTCTGTTCTAGTAGTAGTAACTCTGCGTAGAATGCAACACTGAACAAGACAGCACAGTACAGTGCCTTACGTACAGCACAGTTTCGTATGTTCCGCAAAGCACAGTATCGTATGTATCCTACAATACCGTACAGTATGTTTTTGGAAGTATCGCAACGGCAAGTCTTCCGCAGCAGTTCGCCTTCAGCTCTCCGTCCCCACGCTTTGGGCGAACAGCTCGCAGTCTTACAGGCTGTCGTGGCTTGATGTCACGCATGCAGTCTTCTTCCTCTTCTCGCTCCCGTCGTCCTCGCTGCCGGGATACTATTGGACGCCCAAGGATTTTTTCCACCCTTGACTTAACAGTCGTCCTCTCCGAGCTCTTCGAGTTCGTCACAATCGCCCCTCGAGGCCCGGAGGCTTGATCTCCAGTTGCAGGCTTTTTCTCACCTTCTGCACCGGGCCCCGGCCATCCGGCCTGCTCAGGACCCGGCCGTGGCTCTTGTTCCTCCTGAAATGGTGCGATCTTCCATCTTTTGGCCCTCCTTCAGTCTTTTACGGCTTATTGTTAGATCCGCCACCATGCCCTGCATGCCATCGAGCTTGCCGCACGTGCGCATGGTTGTTAATTCCGGAAAAGCTGGACATTGGTCACGAAACTCTCCGATGTCCAATCGCGTGCTTGGTGGCTTCCTTACCAGAGCCACCGCCACTTACCCTACAGCGTGGTGCAGCCAACTTGCCGCACGGTTCTTTCTTTCTGTCCTCTGCGGCAATAGGAACGGCTCCTTGCGGCTAAACTGTCCTGGCCTATTTCCTCTTACCGTGTTGAGGATGGCGCCGGTGCTTTTCTCACCGTAACCGGCTGTTCCAGTGCCTCACTCTGAATTTAGGTTGATCATCCACGTGCGCATCAGGTCTTGGGTCGGCACCGGTCGATGTGCTTGGCTTGGATTCCCGGAACGCTAGGGTGGAGTCTCCGAAGTTGGTCCCTGATCATGCACTCTGACCTCGTTTCACTTCATGTGCTTCCAAAGCTGGCTGGGAAGCTCCTTTGGGTTTGTTCGCTGTTCTGGGCGTTCCGCCCAACACTTGTCCCGTTTATCTTTGATCGGGGACGTCGCCTCTGGTCCATGTTGCGGTCAGTCCGGACAGGTTGGCTGAGCTTTTTGCATCCCTTGATCCCAAGCTCCGTGTTACTTCTAGTCGGGAAGCGTCTCCTCTCCGCCTGACTTCACGCTGGTGTCGGTGTCAGTCCAAAACCACGAGGTTTTTGCGCGGTATTGCGCGGTCGCGGCTCCTTCCGTCATTTTCGGGAAAACCGGGAAAACGCCGTGCTTGGATTTCCCTGCGCCTGCCTGCAGATCCCGACCGTAAGCGCTCTAAAGAATATCGCGTTGTCCCGGAGATGTGGTCGGCCTGGCTGTCCCATGCACCCCGATCTTCCTGATTCCGCTCGCGCCGCCATCTGCCTGTGAAACGTTTTGCAGACGCTTGTGCCGATAGAAAGCACGTAGGACTGGGGCGAAGGGGCCCGTGCCATTTGGTTTGTGCAGGCGTTCTGTATTGCCCAGCTGGCAGACATGTCTGACTAGTTTCCGCGTAACCTTGCCCGCAAGCCGCAAGCAGGCGCATTACTGTGGTGCGTCGCACTGTTGAATCCTAATCATGTGACTATGCGTTGTCACAACTCTCCACCCGACTCCGCCTCGTGGAAAGGACTTTCCAAAGCCCGTGGAATTTGCTTGTCGAACCCCCTCCATTGATCATGTTCCCGGCTTCAGGAACTCGGTGTCAGCCCCATTAAATCGTGGCCGCATTCCTGCAAGCTGCCGTGGGTGTGAGTCCTCACGACTCCGTTTCACGGAGGCTCATGTCGTTTCGGCTGCTCCGCGACCATCTTACTCACCTGCGACGGGATATCAAAGCTCCCTTTTGCTGGCTCTACAATTGTAATCTTTGGCTGGGTGCCCCCGGTGCGGGAACTCCATTGCGGTGTTTTGGACTTCTGACTTTTGCCCGTGCGCCAAGCTAGCTTTCGGATCCGTTTTATGGCCGTAACTCTCATTGCAGTGGATTCGGCCGAATTGTGATTTGATCCGACGCCGGTATCCTGACCGAGCTATGATATTTCAGCCATCGGAAAATGAAGCCCACTTTTCTGCTGCTCGCCCTGCATTCTTACGTAATGGACTAGTACTCCTAGAATGTGGTAGTACGACTGTATCGTATAGCATAGTATAGTGTAGTCTAGCATGGCATGGCACAGCTATATAGTCTAGTATAGTCTCGTATCGTATGTATATAATGAATATAGCACAGTACACTGTAGATTAGCATGACACAGCGTTGCATAGCATAGCATGGCCTAGCATCTGATCGGCTCGTATCATGTAGCATCATAATATCGTTTAGTACATCTCGTCTAGTATAGTATCGTCTCGGATAGGAATGCAAAGCATAATATAGTATGGTATGAATTACGGTATAATAGAGTGTCGTTTGGTGTAGTATCGTTTACTATAGCATCGTTTGGGATAGCAATATAAAAAAAAACATACTGTAGTGTAGCATGGTAGAATACAGTATAGTACAGCAAAACATAGGGCAGTAGAGTATCGCAAATAGTGTAATATAGTAGTGTATGGCATAGCAAACTATAATACCATACAGGATAGTTTAGTACAGAACAGAAAAGGGTAGCATAGTATAGTATAACATAGTACAGGTTTCGCGCCGGATAGGGCAGTTTAGTATCCTACGGCATCTTTTCGAAAAACAGCTAAGTACACCATACATGTGTACATGTGCATACATTCATACACAACCCGACATACGTACAAGCAAGCATACATACATACAAGCATACATACATACATACATACATACATACATACATACATACACTCATAAACACACACACACACATGCACATATGTATGTATGTGTGTATGCATGCATGCGTGCGTGCGTGCTTGCTTGCTGGTTTGTTCGTTTGTTGTGTTCCTTTGTCTGCGTGTTTGTTTGTACATGTTGGTACTTACGTATGTATGTACGTATGCGTGGTGTGTAGCTGGCCTTGTCAGCTTTATTGTTACTATGTTACTCTGTTTTGCCTTTGATTTGTGCGGTTTGGGTTTTGTGGGGAGCATCTTTATTTGAGTCTGTTTATTGGAGACGTCGTAAAAGCTTCGGTGCACTCTACACATGAATGTCTACCTTCGCAAAATTCTCATTACCAGCTAAAGCGTGATTAAGAATTTCGAGCAACATAGATTTGCTTCGACTTGCTTTCTGTCCCTCCTAGGTAGATATACACATGCTATACAGGGCTATACACATAAAAACAGCCAGGAACAGCCAGTTTGTCTACGTGCCCGAAATACATCCTATTGGCCAGACAGGGGTTTCTGTCACATAGGGGTTCCATCAGATTCGATAAGGGTTCTGTGAGACAGCAGTTCCCAATGCTGACGGACACTGTATGAGCTCAGAGCATCATTTTTGTATGTTTGATCGTGTAACCCTCTTTTTGGGGGGCCAATCCTCATCGAGCTCCCAATGCAGTCAACTTTGGCTCACCGCACATACATACATAAATCTGCACAAAAGGTGGTGCCAACACCCAGTCGGCACATACAAGCATCCTGGTCACATATACATACAGTGCGTATGTATGCATGCTTGTATGGATGCATGTACGTATGCATGCATGTTTGGCTGTCCTGTAGTGTGATGTCAGTTCATGTCAACACAATGCAATGTAGAGAATGTCATGTCAGGTCATGTCGTGTCGTGTCATGCGATGCGACTTGATGTAAAACACATTGTCTCAAGTGTGCCTTCGGCTTGAGGCACCTCATGGGCTGCTCTTCGAGCACTGTGACTGAGGAGTTTGGTGGCCGGGCCCTTCCATTCATGAAGGCTTCAGTAACTTTCAGGCTAGCCTCTGCTGTGGTACTCTAGACAGTTCCAGCCCACATTTCGCCCTCAAGGCAAGCACTCTGCGCGTGTGGCCGACTGCAGCGTCAACTTCAAGGAGTCTGCATCTTTGTTTCCGAGCCCCCTGCTCGGAACGAGCATGTCCTTTTGGCGGGTTTCAACGTCATTCCCCCTAGCAGAAGAAGCCTGCACGATGAGTCGTTTCAGCGGCGAAATACAAGGAATTTTGCTAAATGGGGGCAAGGGCCCATGTACGAATCAGGCGCTTGACGCCTCTGTGCAAGGACGGCCAGGAGGTTTCTTGCGACTTCAAGGACCGCATTGCGGCACTTGTGTGATTGCCCTAGTGATACATGGTGCTTGGCATTGCTGACCAGAGCTTTTCACGTTTTCTCACCGGCTGGTGTCCGAGTCAGGGCTTGGAGAGTTTGTCCTTGGACGGTTTGCGCTTGTACGTAGAAAATTGTATCTTCGTGTGCGCTCTAATCTGTCTGCCAGGAGAGTTTGCTAAGCTTCGAGTCGATGTCATGTGCCCGAGTTGTGGAAAAGAGCTCGGAGTGCCATGTGTTTGTGCCGTCTATTGCTTTCGGCCATGTGCAGTTCATGATCGTGTGAATTCGGCTTGTGAGATACGGTGCCACTTGAGTTTGCCACGGAAATGCTGCTTTGCTTGTGCAGTGGGCAGGTACGGACGACGGTGACAGCCACCCTGGGCGGCCGACCAAGGCCAACCACTTGCTGCTTCGTTTCGCCTTCTCCGGTAGGTCTTTTGCCTGTTTGCAGTTTTGCAGAGTTTTAGGGTTTATGCAGACAGTCATGTGGCAGTCGCTAATCATGTGTCGATGAACTGTGTAATAAGGTTTTGGATTTGGGGTTGACTGATGAGCAACCGGTCAACCGCCGCCTGTTTGGCGTGCTCCGGAAGGCCACGCACAAATCGCACATGGCCCGGACGCTGGACGGCAATTTGACACATCAAAACCGTCTTTCCAGCACAGGCAGAGTGAAGCATTACTACAGGTGTGATGTTGCATTTTTTTTGTAAACTCCTGTTGTCATAGGTTTCGTGAAGCCAAGCCGGAGGATGGCAGGATTCCCACCGTGCAGGAGTGGCTGCTTCCAAATCGGATCGCCGTGTATTGCTGAATTTGGTATACCATTTACATGAGGAGTGCTACTTGCTTGTGGCCTGTTCTCGTTTCGGTCAAAGACGACAGTCGTTGAATCCCGGGCAAGTCTTGGGGTGGGGGTCTGATGGCGGCTGGGGGTGGCAAGCGAATGCGACACGTGCATCCACGTGTTTCACATGTGCACGCAATGCGCGTGTCTTCACTGCAGTCAATCAGTTGAAGGTGCAGGGTGGAGAAAGATCAAGACTGTGCCGCATCAGGTAGAAGTGTCGTAGAGCCGTAGAGGGCCTGGTACCGTGAAGGCGAACTGATCGACGGGGACACAGGCAGAAGAAGGTGCGAACAAGCCTTTGTCTCCATCTCTTAGGCTGGACAAGTACCTGAAGCTGATTCAAAAAGATCCCGAACTTCTCAACAAGGACGTCCGTCACCACAGCACAGCACTTCGGGAGTCTTTGCATCTGAACTTCAGGACATCGTCATTCGCAGAGTTGTGGAGATGTAAACGATTCGTTACATTCCTCGTTTCACGCTTGGCCATAACCGGCCCACATGCTCCTGCCGTAATTGTGCTTCCAGGTTCAGTTTAATGAGCAGCCCAGTCGTGTGGTGAGACTCCCGATCCACCACACGCTCGCTGTCGACTGGGGCCTGCGCGGAGTTGATCCTCTCCTTTTTTAGAATGCGACCTCAGAGAGCGCATTCGGATTTCTGTTCCCCATTCAGGCATCCGAAGGCCTGCAGGCAGAGCGGAGCTCGCCAAGTTGGGCGGATGCCTTCGCCAAGTCGCGTTTTAGAGAGTTGCCCAGGCCCTGGCCCCTTGGCTCAGGCCATTTACTGTTGACTCGTGCGTCGAGGGCCAAGTGCTTCTTTCCTTTCCTTCAGGACTTATGCTGGGCATCGCCAAGCCCTGTCATGGAATGCCATGCTCCCATTCAGGGCCTGGCAAAGGCTTGCACGTCATGTGCAGAGCTATGATTCAACATGGTGCAGTGAACACAGGACGCCTTAGAGCCATCATTAATCCCAGCTTGCGTTCCAGTTCTGTCCTTATTCAAAAGCCTTTTGGCTCACAGTGTAGGCCAGCCATGGCGCTAAATCCTTTTCGGCTCATCGCTTTTGCCCTCGCCGTGGCCAGTGCAGAACACTGCAACTTCAGCCAAGCTTATGAAGATGACCAGGCTTCGCACATGCAAAAGTGGCCTCGTTGGTTTTCGCACCATGCTCACCGGTACCATCAGTACTACCAGCATCAGTACGGCCAATATGTTGCGACTACAGCCGCTTCTACGAGTGCAGGCGCCGGTACAGACACGTCAACAACTTCGTCACTTGGTGATGCAGGGGCAACAGTGACCACGACAGGTGCCGATGCCAGTACATCCAGCACGAGCATGCCTACAACATCACCTGGTGCCGAGGGAACAAGCACGACCACCACCGTTGTCGCAACATTTGCTATACTCCCGTTTGCTCCAGTCAATATGACGGAGTTCCTGCTTGACTTCAACTTGACAGAACTCACGCAGAACGTGTCTGCAAACACAGGTTCTGAGGTTGTAGTCTCGCAGGTTGAGCTCCCGGGTGAAACGAACTTGACCATCAATGGCACGAGCAATGTGTCAGAGGCTGAAATCCGAGCTCTCATCCAAGCTGCTTATGCAGAGTTGCTCAATGTTTCGTTGAGCGACGTGACAGTGCTGTTGTTGCCTTCGCCTGATCCGTCTTTGCTCCAGACTAGCCCCATCTACCACACCTACACGATTCGGTTCAGAGCCCGTACTTATGTTGCACAAATGGAGTCAGAAAGAGGTTACATTCAGCGCGCGGCCCGCAAAACCCAGGACCTCACCGTGGATTTGGTGCAGCAATATGTGGAAGCAAGGAACGGAGACCTTGTGGACATCAGATGGGTAAGTGACGATCCGTGGAGGCTCGACTTCAATGTGGAGCTGAGGGTCGCGCAGTACGACTCGGATGGCGACCAGGATCCTGACATTTTCTTTGACAGACTTTTCGAGACCTATCTCTCCTTCCACACGTCATTGTATCTCCATGCTGTTGGTGATGTTCAGGTGGTTGAGAAAATCGGCTGGACTGATTCAAGCTCCCTGGCATCTACAGACATCTGTGGGGATGGCGACGTGAGGTCTTCGGACGAAGGCATTACAAGCGGGACAGCTTTCGCCCCATACATCTATGATGATTTTGCTTGGTACCCAGTTTGCAAGAAAGACATCAACCACGAAACGGCGACCAGCTTCTGCAAGCAGTTGGGGTTTGATGCAGGTGAGTCTGTGGCCTTGTCCGACCACCTCTTAACCCATGCGATGCAGGTTGGCAGCTGTCATGTCGGTGAGTTGGCTCCAGCCTGTACGGCGGGTGGCAATACATTCCCGACTCTTCCAACAGAGGGGTGTGGCCCAGGTCAGAATGGGATACAGTTCCAATGCACCACATCTTCGAGCTGGTATGTCACCCAGCAGTCGACGTGCAGGAAGCAACCGATCCGAATTCCACCATCCACTTGCCAGATGCAGACAGTAGAGTCAGGCGATGTGAGCCTGCTTGAATGCATGCATTCTGTGCGGGAGAGCAGCAACATTTGCGGCGAAGTCTTCTCCTGGACCCAGGGCTCCGGCTGTAGTTGTGCCAGAAGAGGCTGTGACTCCGACTCCGCAGCCTCAACGAGCGGATCCAGCTGGTATCGGATCTATCCAGGCCATTTCTTCAAGGACCATGGGCCTGGCCTCTGCAATCCTGGAGCATTCTTCACATCGGAAAGCTGGGCTCTGGCCGATAGCTCGGAGGGCAACAGAGTTGCTCTTTCACAGGAGTTTATGGCATGGGTTGGTGAAGCATGGGTTCGCTGCACCGAGAAGGATGGCCTCACTCGCTTCGTCTCGGTGTGGGAGGATGCAAAATTTGCTTGCTACACAAATCATGGCGAGTGTTTCAACACTCCCAGTACGGCTGTTCGCAGCTTTTCAAGGCAATGGCAGGTGGGAGATTCCGTTTCCTCGGGCTCCTATGGATGTGGCACTGTTCAGCAACGAAGGATGACCATGGGAGAGGGCCTCGCTTTGCTCGTCAACTTTCCAAGCCAGAATGACGTGGAGATTAGTTGGGGTGCTGCGGAGCATTGCGACTCGGCTGCATGCCGCGCTTCGAGCGAAGAGATAGCTGCAGGGCGCCCAACCCCGGTTCGAAAAGGCATGGAAACATGGCATACGAAAGGAAGTCAAAGACATCCTTCCTACACGGCTTCTGACACTCCACCACATTGACAGCATTTCATGGTTCGTGACGATGACCGTAGACACTGCAATATACCTTGCTCGTTAAGCGACGTCCGAGGCACCACCACGACGACAACTACCCTGCCATCCTGCAGCCAACTGCAAGATATTGCTTGCACCTACTCTTCTCCCAGGTGGGAATAGGTTTCGCTTGTTTTAGGCAGAGACAGCTCCAAGAATCCCCAAGTAAGTTTTAACTTCTGACCACGTGAAGGTGTGTCTGGGACGATCAGAGATCATCATGCCGGGAGCGACCTGACACCGCCAAGTACTTCCTGGTACCTAAAGGCACCGAATGCCCATATTTCAGCCGGGTAAAGAGCAAATGGGAATGTGACATCGCGCAGCAGGAGCTGCAGGCCGCCCCGGACTGTTGATCACTTGCCACCAGAAACCACGTCAGAACATATGAAAACAAGTCAGAACACGATACTGTGATGATCTGTGATGCAAGGCCACCTATGACTACACTGCTGGACGCAGTATTGTGGACGGTGGGTTTGCTGACTTGCCTGCGGCTTGCTCCGTGCAGTGGACAGGCATGGCACGGCTTGAGTGTTGTGGGTCATGAGGGCTCTGCTTGCACTGTGTGATGTGTGCCCGGGTCAGGTGATCGCACCGCCCACTGGAACGCGGCGTATGACTACAATGGCCCAGCACCGCCAGCTTGCACTGAGAATTGGAGGTCTCGCCTCACCAGCGGTGAGTTTCGAGAGGTCTGCCGTGGAGCAAGTGTCGAGGAGTTCAAATGCGCCAATGAGCAGAACGGCCCTTTGGGGCTTTGCAGGTGTGACGGCGATGCCTTCTACGGCAAGAGATATGCTTCAGGTCAGCCAGGATCTGGCGCGGAAAGCACTTTCGCTCAGATGACACAAAGCAGCTATGCAGAATCAGGTGCGGACTTTCCCGCAGACTGTTTGCAGCAACTTAGCCGTGCCAAGTCTTGTGGAAAGTAATTTCTCCGAAGCTTTGCCCTGCCAGATTTTGGATCTGCTGGCAGCGGTCGTTGCAGCGGCTCCGCGTTTGGTCGAGACCCCAGCCCGGGCTTCTACAAGCACTGCTACTGCAGAGAAACCGGGTTTGGATCACCTGAATCGGCTACAGCACTGGTGAGGCTGGGGCGACGTGCTTACTCGCCGTATGTTTGCGGGTTTGAGGGAGAAGAGTGTGGTTGTTTTGGCAGAGTCTGGTACGGCAAGAAGCATATACGAGGGCAGCCAGGAGACGGGCCTCTGACGACGCTGCGCCAGCTGATGGAAAGCGAGCACAGGGTCCTGGACCCAAGTACGCCGACGGTTCAGGCTATTACGTGTAGCCCCGCTGCTTTTGGCAATCAAGATCCCAATCCCGGATTCTACAAGCACTGCATCTGTGAGCCATATGATTCAAGCATAAATCCTTTGGCACAGTTTCGGTACCCAAGAGCTGAGATCTTTGATGCGCCTTCACCAGGCTTGTTCTACCGTTGCCCCTATGATGGTGAAAAGATCTTGGAGGATGGTTGGAGGGTCTTTGCGTACAAGGACTACAGTGGAGCGGAATACATTCGGGGAGAGAGAATCTACGATCAATTCGCACTTCCAGCTCTGTTTCGCAGAAAGTTCCTGCTTCTGTTTGTGATGGACATGTTATCGAACACCTGTAAGATTGCATGTTCATGTTTCGATGGTCTCAAAGCAAGGTAGATGTCGCAGCGGCGGACCAGTGGTGCGATTGGAGCTTTAGGTGCTCAAAAATATCGGAGGCGTACGGCAACTGGAACAACAGGATGCAGGATTGGAGCCCGATCACGGTTCTACCAAATCGACCCAATCTCGATTATCCTGGCACGTGCGTCACTCTTGGCGAAGGCATCCACAACATTCAGAAGGTAAGTCCAAATGACGTGCACATCCGGTACATGAAGATATCGACCTGCAACACCTGTCTTCCTGCCAACTGGGACCCTTCTCGCCTTGGCATCAAGCTTTGCTCTTCTCCGTCAAGTTGCGAGAGCTCCTGCTCTCGTGAGCCAGTTTTGTCCTCGGATCGCATGATGATCGCGACCTGCGATCTGTCCGGCTTCCCCATATCTCAAATCCAGTTCCAGGTCACGACTGCTCCTGTGACGATTTGTGAACTGACGGTGCTGTGAAGTCGTTGACAAGGAGAACGTGCCTTAGCCACGACAGCTTCCCCACTCGCGACAAGAAACCAACTATCCACGACAAGAAACCAAGTAGTAGGAGTAACAGCAGTAGCAGGCAGTAGTAGCAGGAGTAGCATGGTGCGTTTCTTGTCGGGGGCTTGGGTGGTTAAAACGTGTCGGGGATTAAGCGCGCTCTCACAAGTTGACCAGACCCAAATATGGTCGTTTCGCCTTCATGGCGACTTTTAATTTCTGGTCGGTTTAAGTCTACGTGACTTGAGCCTCCTTATATGCTCCTCTGACAGCATCTATCGCTTAAATTACCTGCTCAGCCACTGAGCAGCTAGCTACACTCGCCGCCAAAGGTTTGCCGACACGTGTCAAGCCGACAAAATGATCAAATTGCTTGTTGGCTAAAGCATCTCCAAAGCAGACATGCCGGTGCCCTTTGCCGAGTATGAGTAGGAGAAGGCATTGAAGGCTCCGGATTTCGAGTCCCCCTGCTGATCCCGGGCTTCTGGGCTTCAAGGGGGGAGATCTCGGGCGAGCTGGAGCTCCAAGCGGGATCTCGCCTCAGCCTCAGAAGCGGCCCGGGCCGCCGGCCCCGCGAAGTTCTCCATGAATTCATCGCTCTGTGCAGGCGATCTCGCCGCACCGAAGGCTCAAACGAGGTGGATCGATGGCCAGGCTGTGCCCTTTGTTCCGGTTCAGGTCATGCATGCGCGGCCGAGCCCACAAGGCCAGAAAACTGGTCTGCTTCTTTTGCGCGGCTCTGGGCGTTTGCGGAAGCTGCGTAGAAGGTTGGAGCCAGTGGCCCGTGACGGTCTCAGCGCAAGCCGCGGCCGGAACCTCAGAAAGCACAGAGACGGAGGTTGGTGGTCCAGACTTTACTCTGTGACGCAAGGCACCTTCGCCACAAGTTCAGGCGGTTCAGGGGTCACGGAGTCAGGACCGGGTCCTGCCCAGAAATCTGGGGGTTGCTGTTGAAGTGGATGCTCCGGCAGGGCGCAGCACCGCCCTTCCCCTGCTTACCGACCAGCCTGAGCAGGCTGGAGAACCCGCACTTTTGTCCACCCAAAGAAAGCTTGGCTCAGGCAGCATTTGCCAGATCGGGAGCCAGGCTCTTTCACCCCTCCTGCAGGCGTCGGGACGCCCAGCTTTCGGCACAGACAAGCCAAGGGTCTTTCGAAGACTTGGAAAAGGTGGCCGGCTTCGGCCCTCCCGCAAGCCGTGCGGGGGACTCCAGACGTTCCATACCGTGTCCTTTCCGGATCAGTTGGAGATGCCGAGGTCCCCAGCCGGCAAGGGACGCCACCCTCAACAGCCCGCTCCGCCCTCGTTTAGACTCTGTTCTAATCGTTGGTGGCCGCATCTGCGGGGTGTCGGTCAGGTGCGACATCTCCCGAGAATCCAACTGCCGTCATTGTGGCATCCAACCAGGGGCCGGCGCCTCACGGGAGCGTTGCATCTGATGTCCTTGTGAGCGACGGAAGCTCTCTTTGAATGCGCACGCGCATCAGGGCATCCTTCCCACGATCGCCGGGCAAAACGTCCCAGCCACGGCTTTTCTCGGACCAGGGCGGTCGGTTTCTTCGTACAGTAGTGCTCAGTCTGCAGGCGGACGGGGCAATCGGGGCCTGGGTTGCCCAGTGGCAGCACAAAGACGACTCCGAAGCCTGCAAATCGTCAGGCTCAAGTGGCAGTCGCACCGGCGTGGAGTGGAGGAGAGTCCCGCAACCTGCAGGTCCTCTCCTTCGTGCCCGGGCAGCCAGAGCCCCAGCCAATAGGTGAAACCCGCACTGCAGCTCTGGAGTTTGAGAGGCGCCCAGGCCCGAACACTGCTGGAGGCGCCCCACAGCGACAGGCAGACAGCGCAGGGATTGAGTTTGAGCCCAAGTCACAGCTTAGCGAGAGGCACAGCACGGCGCGCCCTCCTCGGGCGGCTCGGGCATCTACCTTCCAGGAGCCCTTGCGTTTCTGCATGTTTCTGTCATGCCCCCCCCCCCCCTTCCCCTGCCTCTTCTCCGGGGTGCGCAGGCGACGGCGAGCTCCGGGCCGCCCCCGTCGCGCCCCGACAAACCGGGACACCGCACTTTCTGCATCGCCTTTGCGCCGAGGCCCAGGCCCAGGCCCAGACGAAGGTGCCCTTATAGAGCTCCGTCTTTTCTCTCCGTCGGAGCTCTCCGCTGAAAGGCGCAGAGTCTGCGGGGCGCCTCTGTGGGCCGAGCTGCCGCTTCTGCCACTTTGCCGCTGCCCCAAAGAGTATGTTCAAACAAAGGCTTATATCGAAAAAGAGGGGGTTCTCGTCTTGTGTTTCTTTGTACGGATTTTTTCTTTCTGACGGACAAGATCTGCGCATCTCAGGGAAGCTCGAGCCTCGCCCCGGGCCACCAATGAGGCTTCAACTCGAGGGCACCACGTCTCACGCTGGTAAGAACAGGTGTTTGCTTGAGTCGACTTTCCGATGTCTCCAATGTGCTCACATACATATTGTACACTTGATGCAGTTCCGGTACTCGCACAGCCTGATCGACGCAACTGGTCGGTCAGATGAGGCGCCCTGGCATGCGACAGGCATTGAGCAACTTAACGGCAGAACCAACTGAAGTTTGCCTCATCTGCACTTCTGCCTACCATCCTTCACTCTTCCAGGCCTCGCGCCACTCAGACGACACCATACCGGAGGCTTGGCAACGGAGTGCTACAGTAGGTGGAATTCAGGATTCGTTTGATGAGCTCCTGCGCCCCGAGAAACCAGTGATCGGCATGTTGTTGAGGAACTTGCGTTTCACATCTGACATGTTTTGACGTGGACACTCGCCGTTGGTGCGTGAGTCGGAAATGTTGTGCTCCACACACCCAACAGTTGCAGGAAGTCTCCTCCCAAAAACAGGCAGCCTGGCCGGAGCGTCGGCTCCATGCCGCGGAGGCGGGATGGAGTTTGCAGAGTTGCAAGGGAAAGCGTCCCGACGGACAAAACGTCTCAGGAGCACCCGGAAGACGAGCCTGGCCCTTGTCCGACAATCCCCAGTCCCTTCGATGCTGAAAGTTGCAGGCGTGCACGGCTCCAGCGCGAGCTGCGCACGCGAGAGGCGCGGTGCGTGGAGCTGCAGGTGGGCCGGCTGTTGAGTTGCCAGGGGTGACGGACCAGAGCCATCCTCGGGCACAGGAAAGGCTCGAGGGCCGCGAGCGCAACGTGACCGCCCGCGAGGCCCGGCCGTTGGAAGCATCGTCAAAGCAAAGACGTCGAGCCATCTTCATCTCCGAACCAAAACGAAAGAGATCGGGAAATGCCTTCCGACCTTCGCCGGTAGCCGTAGCTTCTTGATTTAGGCCAAGAGTGCCCGCGCAAGACACGCCAACCCTTTCGCAGCTCGCATCGGCATCTATAGCTCACGAGCTTGAGCATAGAAATGATGAGATGACGGCGATGACAACAGGTAACAGCCACATGCATAGTGAGAGTAGATAGCCCTGCAACCATGATGATGGCCAGATGAAAACGAAAACGACGATGGTATTCGTAGTTGGCGTTCATGATACCTAGAGGTTGCTGCGGGGGAGCACGTGCCTTGGCTCCTGCAAGCTCACGCTCGGGATGAAGCGTGAGCTGTGAGCCACACAGCGAGCGCCCGAAAGCTGTTGTGCACGCGTCCAACCGGCCAGCGCCCGATTGCAGAACAGCTCTGCTTCGGCTCTTGACCCTTCTCACGCCTTCAGTCCGACCTGGTCGCTCGCGAGAAGCGCGTCGCCGACAGGGAGGTGGGAGGGGCTGCAGAGCGGAGGTTTTGCGGGCGGCTTCGCGGGTCTCTGGGGTCGCTGCGCCAAGGCCGACTTGGCGAAGATGTTCGATCGGCTCACCGAGCGGGAGGACGGCTTTTTGGTCGGCCTGGGAGTCGGTCAGGGCCGGTCCGGGGAGATGCCGCGAGGAGCAGCAGCGGAAGGAAAGCCAAAGCCGCCGGAAAGCCGAGCTGAAAGCGGAGCGTTCACCGGGCCGGCCGGGGCCGAAGAGTCTCTGAGGCCTGGCAGAGCTCAGCTCCAAGGAGGAGGGCCTGAAACTGCAGCTTCAGGCGCGGAGCAATGCGGCGCGAAGCAGCGCAGGTCTGCAGAGGTATAGCTCAGGCTTCGAATCCGCTGCAGAGGACGCTCGGAACCGCAACGCCGACCTGCACTGCCGACAAGCAGACCTGGACCAACGCGAGGCCAAGCTGCGAGCCGAGGAGGAGATGGGAGCTCTGATCAGGGTGTTGCCTCGCCTCGCGCATGCTCACACACCCGCATGCTCGTGCCCTCTTCGCTTAGAGGAGCGCTGTCGGGATCTAAAGCGTGGTCTTGACGAACGGGATGCTCGCTGGCACGAGGTGCTCCTGAGTAGGCTCACTCCACTCCTTCCCGGGTCTCATGTCGAGGCTGCGAAGGATGCCTCGCTGGTCCTGAAACCGCACCTCAAGCCGCGCATGTCCCGTTGCCAGAGATTAGGGGCTTGCGGAGGAGAATCTGAGAAGAGTGGAAAGGATTTAAAGGGATGTTTGCTTGCGTACGTGAGGTCACCCCGCGGCAAAGAGAATGTCGAGCTGCAGCGGCAACTGGAGGCATGGAGCAGGCTCGGTCTCGGTGTCTTGTGACAGTGGGGCGGTCGCAGGAGCAGCGCGGGCTCATGCACAAAATCAAGCGTCCCGAGCCTGGAGTCGGGAGAGTGGAATCTCAGAGCCCCTTTGCCGCCACAAGGTAAGCAGGACAGCTGGGCTGAAGGCGGAAGCACAGGCAAGAGACACTGAGAGAGCCCTCCAAGCTCTTGCCGAGGGGAAGAAGGTGGCCGTGGCCACCGCGACAGCTTCGGCAGCGAGGTTGCGGCCGAGGCCGTCCACCGAGTCCTCTGCGTGACATTGCTGCAGGAGACGGTCACCGGACCCGGCTACTGAGCCCTGAAGTTCGCTGAAGCGCATCGGGGCGATCACCTCCTCACTTGCATCACTGCCGCTAGCAGTCACCATAGCACGACATTCCGATTTCAAGGAGCCTCCCCTAAACTCTTCCGCAAGTGGCGGCACAGACAAGCGACAGGCGAGCATTGGTGCCGAGGGGAGTGTAGGGCTCTTTGGCATGGCTGGGGAGATTCGCCATGTCAGTGGAAAATGGAGAGCGCTCCTGCTCTTGCTCGCCGTCCCTGCCTACAGAGTCTGATGCCCCTGATTCGCTTGATACGTCTAGACCTGTGGGTTTGCAGGCGGAGTAGATCCCGTGGGAAGAAGAGCTTCCAGAAAGCTTGGCAGTAGCAGCATCTTTAAAGGGCACGCGAAAGCACCGACGAAGCTTTGCAGCAGTAGAGGCGGAGGCGAGCCATGCAAGCCGTGTTCGCTCTCGCCCTGACCGATGCTTCGGCGCCGCGAGGCGGTCACAATGTCGCTCTGCCCTGCCTTTTGTCTAGTCGTCTTCCGAGGCCCGCGGCGACCGCCACAACGGCACGCGTCTGACGGAGCAAAACGCTGCTCACGAGCCAGGTGCGAACGAGAGCCGTTTGCCTGCTTGCTTAAGTTCCTCGCCTTTGCGACTTCTGCCTAGCGACTTAGCGTGTTGCTCTCTGCAACTCCATGCTTCTTTTTGAAGAGCGCTCCTTCTCAGACGGCACTCCTCTGGGCCTCCCGGAGGAGGAGGAAGAGGAGGCGCAGACAGCAGCAAAAGCAGGGTCCCCTCAGAGCAGTTTCGAAAACTCTCTCTCTCTCTCTCTCTCTCGTCTTGTGGAGGCTGAGGCGGCGGAGGATGGCAACAGCGACGAAGGCTCAGAGCATCCAGTCACTTGAGGGGAGGATGGTTCGTGTCCATAACTCAGCGCTCGCGCTGCTTTGCTAGGCCTTCAGAGTGGATATCCGGGTGGAGCGGACGAGTGGGAGGAGACGAGACAAAAAGGATCTAAGGTGGGAGTGTGGTCTTAGGAAACCTGCAGGAGATCTTCGCCTGCCCCCTCAGCATCCGCTTCACGCAGGTTGCGCCGTTGCGCAGATCTGCGAAGGTGAAAAGGGAAAGCTGTCAGGACAAAATCCACCCCTTCTTCTACCGGTCCCGGCCTGAAGCAGCTTCAAAACGGGGGGCGAGTTTCTATTACACACCGTTTCGTTGATCCAAAAGTGTATCTCTGGATGGTTGAGAGTTGCACCGGGCTAGAGCGGGAGCAGGCCAAGTGGGAGGGAGGGCTTCTTGCATGGGTAAACGGCCATGCCAGTGCAGAACGTCGCTCGCCGCGGCGACATCGAACGAATGGGATATGAACTGGAAAGAAAACAGCCTTTTCCACCGTTTCTTCAAGGAGCACGCGGGTGGGTTAGAGACTGTCGAGAGGGCGGGCGCCCCCAGGCCGGAGTCGGGTAGGGCTTTGTTTGAAGCGTGAAGTGGACCGAGTCGCGGGCCGATCGTCAACGTGCTTCCCAAGATCCAAGCCGTCCCGAGCCATGCGGCCAACGGTCCGGTGCTCGGCTCCTCGGCTCCTCGGCTCCCGCAGCCTCGCTTTTTCTCAGGTGACGAGGTGCTGGACCTGGTGCCTCCCTTCGCGCCCATCCACTGCCTTCAGAAGGCCCTTCCAATGAGTCCCGATGTTGCAAAGAGATGTCAAATGGAGGCTCGTGCGGACTGCAGGCCTCTTTGTGCCGTAACTCTAGAAGTTCCGGCGGGCCATGGCGGATGCGTGTGCGCTCAGCGATCTCGGTGCTTGGGATGGGCAACGGCTTCGGCGGCTTCGGCGGCTTCGGCGGCTTCGGCCCCGGGCCTGCGCACGCGGCCTTGGCAGCTGGTGAACGGACGCTGAGCTCGAGCTCATCCTCGGCGAGCTCTTTCTCCTCCGTCTCACTTTGCGTGCCTGCCCAGCTCACGGAGGCCGTCTACACTGCCCTCGCTGAGGCAGACTGCATACCTCGGCGTTGGCACCCTGAAGGACGCGAAGGAATCTCCATCCAGGCCAGAAAGCTGCTCTGGGAGTTTCGCGAGGTTGCCCTGGTCCCTGGAGGCAGTACCGGAGCAGCCTGCGAAGCGGCTGTTGCCGCTCTTGGAGGGGTCGCAAGACAGGTGAGAGAGGTCCCAAATGGTCCCAAGGTCTCGGCTCTCGATTTCACGGGTCTTTTGTCATGCCCCTGAAGGCTTCCTGGGCTGGTGTCGGCGCTGCTGCGTCTCTCATGCAATGAAGAGTCTTGAGCTCAGCCCTTGAGGCTTTTTTTTCTGTGTCGTCTTGCTGAGGTCGGAGGGCCGGGCGGAGCTCGTGAGGAAAACGACGAAGTGGCGCAGCGGGCCTGGCTCAAGGCGCCAGGCGAAAGACCTGGCGATACCTTTCCTGAGCCCAGAGGCCCCCCAGAAAAGAGCGAGGGACGCGGCTTTGCCGGTTCGTGACTATGTTTTGTCCTCTCGCATTCTCTCCCTTTCTGTCTCAGGCTCCGGGTGGTAGCTTCCGCTTTGCGGAGCTCTTCGCGGGGATCGGAGGCTTTCGGCTTGGGCTCGAGAGCCTCGGCGGCCGCTGTGTCTTTGCCTCGGAGATCGACGTTTTCACTCGGGATCTCTACACGCTGAACTTCGGAAATCGCCCGGAAGTCCTTGGAGACATACAGCTGATCCAGGCCAGGATTTTTGTCTTAGCCTTGGCTCATCTTGGCTCCCTGCACCTCGCTTCGGACACAGGAGGAGGACATCCCGCCGCACGACCTGCTGGTGGCAGGCGGCTTCCTAAGGCCTTTTCGCGGAGAGTGCCAGTTGCTTTGCCCTTTTCCAGGCTTTCCGTGCCAGCCCTTTTCCGGGCTGGGTGAGCAGCCTGGTTTGGAGGACCCGAAGGGCCGGGGCCTCCTCTTCCGTGAGGTCTGCCGGGTCTTGAGAGCTCGTCAGTGTCCGCTCTTCCTTCTCGAGAACGTCCCCGGCCTGGCAGAGACTGATGAGGGTAAGGCCTTGAAGGCTATCAAGGAAGAGCTGACGGCTTGCAACTACGATGTGGTCTTGAAGACGCTGAACGCCAAGGCCTTCACGGCGCAGTCTCGGAAGAGGATCTTCTTCATCGGCTTTCGCCAGGACCTCGGCCTGGCTAAGCCGGCCATCTCTGAGATTTTTCCAGACTTGGGCTTGCGGGCGAGGGACATCTTTGAGCCGGAAGAAGAGCTGAGAGCTTCTGAGCCTGAGCTGCTCTCTGCATACACGCTTTCGGAGGAGCACTTCCGAAAGCTTCAAGGCTGCAAGAAGTGGTCCAGGCGGGGTGGCATGACCGACACCCTGGCTTGGGGAGACAAGGTCTGCTCCACCTTGGTTGGCCACTATGGTACCAGCATTCCGAGGGGCAACTCGCAGTTGGTCCCACGGCCAGCGCCCCACCTTCCACGTCGCTTCAGCCCTCGGGAGTGTGCGAGGCTCATGGGCTTTCCCGACAGCTTCAAGCTCACGGAGTATTCCGAGAGTTCGGGTCAGCCGGCCGTGTGGTTCCGCAGACTCTACAAGATGTTCGGGAACAGCGTCTGCCCGCCCTTGGTGGCTGCTTTGGCCGGCGCCATGTTGGACCACGCCGCTTGGGGCGGAAAGGGAAAGGCCTGGTCAGAGCTCGGTCGCTCGGCCGCTCTCGGCCTGGCCTTGGGCTCTCTGGCTCCGGGCCCTCGCCAGGAACTCCAAAAGGCTCTCCATGCCTCCTGGCGCACCGCGGAAAGCAGCGGCCAAGTGAAGAAAAAAGAGCGCCTCGAGCTCGAACTTACATTCAGCGGCACGCAGGGGACCGAAAAAGCTCCGTTTTGAAGCAAATACCAAGAAAATCCCTCTGCGTGAGGGCGATGACCTCTGGTCGATGGACAATCGCCGCCTCTACGCGCCTTGATTTGAGAGTGTCCAAGAGAGGAGGCTACGGTGCTCGACGGTGCTATCTTGGCGACTGAGGCGCTGCAGCTCACGGCCATGGTGCCTCGGTGAAGTACCGACTAAAAGAAAGCTCAGAATGGTGACACTCTCGGCGTGAGGACCTCTGGCCGCGGCGCTGCCGGGTGCGCTGCCTGCGCAGGAGAGCCCGAAGCGAGCGAAGAGAGCCGCCCCATAGCCGCGCAGAGCAGGGAGCGGCTGCCCCGGCACAAGTTCAAGACCCAGTACCGGAAGTGCCGGGCCCGGGCAGAGACGCGCTTCCTCTCAAACCACGGGCCAAGTTTTTTTTTTGCACATACAGATCTCCAGGTTCAACACGACGAGCTCGGGGCGATGCATCGATGTTTGCACCAGGAGGGGCCCCGAGTCAAGTCCGAAGGGGGCGGGGTGCAGACGTCGCAGACTCGAGGTACCAGCAGTTCGACACCTGGAGCTGGTACGAGCGGGCCCTCGAAATCGAGGGGTGACACGAGCGTATCTTTCGCATGAAGCTGTGAGTGCGTCATCGAAGCCTTCTGACGAGGTACTCGCTGTCCCGGCGGCTTGGGTCCATGCTTTGCATCTTCGAGGCCCGGCCCCGCTGCCAAAGCCGCGTCTGCGCCGCGTCTCTGCACAGCGTTTCCGCAGCATGTTCGAGGCGGCTCCGGTGCTCGGGGCTTTGCTCTTCCGCAGCGGCCTCACAGGCTTCGAGCGCCGGCCCCAGCGGCAAGCAGCTTTGGAGCCCAGTTAGGCCTTTCAGTCTTTGAGGTCCCGCCGGCCCCTGGTCCTGGGATTCCTGCTGGCCTTTGGCGTGGACTTCCTGAGGCAGCAGGCCGCCATAGCTACGGCCATCAGGCTTGCGCCGCTGTTGAGGGAGACCGCTCCGCCTAAACGCAGGTGCCAGTCTTTGAGCGCGCGCTCTCCGACCTCCAGGCCGGAGCATGCCGGAGCGCACTTTCTGCTGTGCTGTAAAGCCGTTTCCTGCCGTTTCCTCCGTTGTCGCCTCAGGTCAGGGCCATCATGGATGGCGAAGCGCTGCAGGCAAAGCTTTCTGTCCAGGTTTAGCTTGCCGGGTGTGGCTTTCAGAGAAGACGTCAAGGCTTTGGCCTTATATGAAGGCTTTAAAGCTTGCTGCTGGCTGTGTTCCTGCTTTCGAAGTGCTTGCAGATGACCTCCTGGTGGAAGAAAGAGGCGTCGCAAGCCTCGCGTGTGGCCGCTTTAGTGGCCGGGTGGGCACGTGACTTTTTCGTTGGAAGGGGGAGGAGCCGTGCGGCGTCTGCCCGGCGCAGCCCGGGCTCCCAGCCGAAGCGACGGGAAGGGGGCGCGGCCTGGGAGGGGCCTGAGGTTGGCGGCCACCATGGCCGTGGCCCTGGTGCTTCTGCTGCCGCCGGGGGCCCGGCTGATCAGCTGTGAGGCAGCTCTGCGGGGAGAGCCCTGCTCCGCGCGCTTCTCGCTAGGTACATCCTCGGGGTGGCCCGTGACAAAGTGCGCTCCTCGCTCCTCTCGCCAGCAGCTTAGAGATGATGCGAGGTGAATCCTAACCGTCCTATTTTCCACATATGAGGTTGCCTTTTCCTTGATGCCGGACTTAAGTCTCCATGGATGTCAATTCGGTGTCAGGTGCTGGTTCGGAATCGCTTTCATGCTGACGCTGCAGCTGGCCTCCGTGGGCTGGAAGTTGTGGTCCAGAGGTCCAGGGGTGGCGCTGCCGACCATGACATGTTGGATGTCATGATTGCACTCTTCACAGGTCGCTCGGCTGCTGCGGTCCCGCTGGGCGGAGCGAAGGAAGTAGAGGAGGCGGAGGAGCCGGGGGAGTGGAGCGGAGCAACACTTCCTTCAAAGGGTAAGCGTTCTGCGATGACATTCGCGTCGTCTTGACTCCGAGGACGAGAGGACGAGCGGAAGCCGCAACGAGGCAAATCGCGAGGACGAGGCCAAGGCGAGTCAGCACCTCTTTGGCCTGCGCAGCGCAGTGGCCGTGGCCTTCTCCAATTTGCGCTTTGGCCACTTCCTTCGGAGGCTACGGCGGCTACGGCGGCGGCGACGGGCTCATAGCCTCCAAAAGTTTTCCCCCACGCGGCCACGCGGTCGAGCAGCGCTCCCGGGCGGTCGCGTCCTGCCGCTGCCGACCTGCCTCGGTGTGCAAAATGCATCACAGCATCAACGCCGCCAAGCCCCAAGTCATGACATCACGATGCTTGTCCCGCGTATAATTATATGGATGGAGGTTAATATATATAAGGGCATATGTAGAGCTGCCTTAAACACCGCAATTTCCTTTCGCCGCGGCTTGGCTCTGCGCTTTTGGCTTGCTTGGCCGCTCTTCGCTCCGAGCAGGGAGGGCCCGGCCCTCGGCCCTGACAGGCTGAGTCTTTGAGTCTCCTCCTCGGCTCCGCTCCGCTCCTCCGCCCTCTCTTCAGGTGTGCCTCAAAGCGCGCTGATGGCCGTGGCCGCCGTCAGCTAGGGGCGTCTTCGGGATGATCCGTGCCTCCTCCGAGCGGGTGGTGGGCCGGTCGGGCACTCGTCGGGCAGGCCGCCCCACCGCAGGCCACGCACTTTCCACGTCAGGCATGGCGGCTCCTCCACCCTACGAACCACGCTCTCCTGTGCGCGAGAGCCCTGGTCAGAGCCGGCCCAGCTACGCCGGGCATCGCTGGGCCGTGTGATGTGCTGAGTGCTGAGGTCCCTCGCCTCAAGCGGACTTTTTACAGAGACGCTGATGCTGGGAGCTTACAGGATACCGCCCTTCAGTCTCTGCACGGAGCTGTGTGTTCAGGGATGCTGGCAGGTCTCGCCGCAGTGCTCGCAGCGCCTCGCTGTCGCCGGCCCCTAAGTCCCGAGGCGCGCGGGACTGCAAAGGCATTCCTGCAGAAACTCTAGGGCTCTAGGCTCTAGGGTTAACAATGAATCCGGCTTTTGCCTGCTTTACGACTTTATGAGCTTCACAAGCCCAAGCCGCGCCAGGGCATGGGCGTTGCTATTCGCCCCGACGCTTCGCATCGTTCGCGGCCGAGCCGGGTAATGGGTGGCAAAGCAGCTCTCCCTCTCCACACTCCTTTTTCTGCCTCGCAGTTCATTTCTGTTTGTCCATGCCCCCCTCTCTGTCTGTCGGTCTGCCTGTCTGTCTGCCTGCCTGTCTGTCTGTCTGTCAGTTTCTCTTTCTGTCAAAAAAAGATAACGAGCCCAATGTACCCCCGAATGTATACGATGCATCTGTGAATGCTACGATTTCACCGTTGAATTCATTCTGCAATAGGCACGTCGTTCCGACCTTGAGCCTGCCCGAAGAAGAAATGAATGCTGCGATGCCGAATGGCATTGGCTCAAGACTGCTCAAGGACCCTCCCTGGTCGCACAAAGGAATGCATGCTTGACTGTGTTGTGGATTGGGAAACATACTGATATTGGTTGCTCTGGATTGTTTATATTGTATAATGGAATTTTGCACTCTCTCTTTCTCTCGTCTTTCTCTCTTTTCTCTTGTCCCTGTCTCTCTCTCTCTTTCTCTATATCCGTCTCTCTGTCTCGCTCTTGCTCTCTTTGGCTTTCTTGTCTCTCAAGCTACAACAACCACAGGCCTTGGGTAGCTCTGCCAATGGTCTTTCCAGGCGGCACGTGCCCACGGCCGCCGAAGAGCTGGCCCAGCACAGCCAGGTCCGGTGCCACAGAGCAAGATGTTGTCGCTTCGTTCCTAAGACCTTATGAACCCAAAACTGCCTAAACCCGGCTTAAGCCGCACCATGTGTCTTTCCTTCCTTCCTTCCTTCCTTCCTTCTTTCCTTTCTTCCGTGCTGTCTCTAGGTCCTGGAGCCCTCGGTGATCAAGCGCTTCGACGGCCTCATGAGGCCTTCCAGCTCGGGGTGCGTTTGTGCTGTTGACCTTGCTCTGATCTGGCTTTGCAGGCACCTGAAGCGTAACACCGACAAGCAGGACTTCGAAAAACAGGCACCGAAGCCCTGCACAGCTGTCGCAGAATCTTCGTAGCAAGGCCGGCGACGTGAGTTCTTCTCCTCTTTCGCGATTGCAGGTGCTAGCCTCGCCGCCGGACGTCCTCGTGCCCGAGGAGTGCCCTGCTGCTGAACAAAAGCTTCCCTGCCCCAGTGCGTCAGGAGTCAGGAGAGTACGGGGTTTTGCTGCTGCAACGCTTGAAGCACCAGGTACGACGAGGTTCTCCGTGGGGAGTTCTCGCGCCACTGCAGCTTTGGTGCCACGCCCTCGTCTTTGTTTCCCTGGAGCTTCTCACGCTCCAGTTCTTTTGCGGTGCGTCCTACACAGGAACGACTGAACACCGAGCTGATGCATTCAGGAAAGTGGGCAGAGACCTCGAATTTTCGCCTTGGGGACGACAGAAGGGCCGAACATGGCCGAAGCCTGCGCGGCTTGCAGGTCAAGATGCTGAAAGAGCTCGGGTTCGTGCCGGGTCCTGGCAAGGCCAAAGGACCTTCAGCCAACCTGCGGCGACGGTTCGGGGCGGAGTTGTTTGGCGGAGACCTTGCAGGACCATGCCTGTCGTCCCTTGCAGTCGCCGACATTATCTTCCAGAGAGTCCCCGGTCACGAAGCCTCTGCAAGCCCATACACCCAAGCCGCAGCACTCAGGTGCTCCATGACACGGACTACGGTGGTAAGCGCCTGACCTACGACTTCTTTTGCAAGGCTAGAGTCTGCTAGAGCTAGGGTTGTCACGCTCAAGTCACGGATGCGGGCCGAACGGGTCCCATGTCTTCGCCAGGCACTTTGCCTGGTGGCAGTGAACATGTATCCCAACATGGATTGGGAGGCCTCTCTGAGACGCTCTCTCGCGTTCCCTCCCGTTCCAGCCTCTCCCTCCCTCCCTCCTTCAAAATCCCGAGGGAGTATGAAGAAAGAACTGTAAGAGCGAGTCAGCGTTTCCGCTGGTGGCGAGGGTAACTCTGCGGAGACTTTGCGAAGCTGCTAAGTGCAATCGAGTTCGTAAGTTCCTAGTGCCCCGTTTGGGCTTGTTGCAAAGGCGGCCATGGGCGAGCTCCTGCAGCGCATCGCCACAGCTGCAGAGGACAGAGTTGGGGATTTGCAACTTACAGCTAAGTCCTGCATGACAGAGGGAGTCCTGTCCAAAGCAAGCGGCCACTTCGTCCCATGTTTCGGAAGCTCCAGCGAGGACTTGCAGAGTGGCCCTTGCAAAAGCTGTAAGCCCGAATGGATAGCTCTTCGTACCCGCTCTGCTCCCCTCCACACCGATCCGAACGCAAAGAACTTTGGTGATCAGTATCTAACAATAGTAATGGCAATACTCAGGAGAAGAGTGACATTTGGTTGGGGAGACTACATGGTACGGTCAAGTAGAGTCATGGCATAGTGATGAGTGACATCGCTGATCGTAAGCTTCGTCAGTTCGTAAACATTGAAAAGAGTACTTTCAACACGGGCCACGATCTTGCGCTCTAGTGTGTCTGGAGCAGCCGGAGTAGTTCGGCTTGGCCCAACGAAACATATATACGTACATATATATATATATACACATACATATGTATGTGTGCGGGGAATCCTGCCACTCAAGCTGGAGTGCCCGTCAGATCCGGATCTCGTTGGGCTACACTCGAAATTCATCCTGAAGTGTCGCAAGGGTAATTGATTCTCTCTGCGGCTGTGTGTTGCAGGAGTTTCAAGAGCAGGCTGCAGCTAACGAGCCAGCGGACTTCTCGCTGGACCCCAATGCTCCGGGGCTCGGTTCATGACGTCGGCGCGAACGACGTGAGAGCGCGGAGCGATGAGCGCGGAGCGAGCAAGTTCTGCAGGTCCTGCTCGTGCTGGACCACTTCAAGCCCAAGCTGCCGCTCGCTTTGCTTTGTGTAGCATCCACGACGCAAGCTCTTCCCTGCAGCTGAGCAAGCTTCAAGATATGAGCGGTGAAACTTCAGTATCGGAGCCGGATCATTTCAAGGGCTGTACTTGTAAGCATGACGGGTTAGTCGTATCGGCCTTCTCGTCTTGTAGACGCCTCGCAAAGCCGTGTGGATGGAGTGGCAAGTCGCAAGGAGGAGTTTCCTCTCAGATTGGTCTCTTGCACCGCCAAGTGATGCCTTACAGGAGGTCCTGGAGCGTAGGGCTGCGCCTCGCAGCTACGAGCGGGTGGTGGTTTGTGCAGAGGTACAAGCCGCACTGCTGGCGAAACACGGCCGGCTCTGCAAAGAAGAGAGTGGCTACTCGGAAGATAAGGAGCTCTTCGACGACCAGTGGCGGGAGACCTTCCAGCTGACTCTGGGGATGCCTTGCCTTGTGCCGGGCTCGGGGCAGCTGGCAGCCTACTTGGGAGAGCAGGAGGCGGAGCATGCGGAGCGCTGCAAGGAGCCGCGCGTTCGCCTGCGGGTGATCGCCCCGCACGAACCGGCGGAGGCGGAGCAAAGCTGCGAGCGGCGGCAAGTTCTGCCGCTGCCCACGGCGCCGGCCTCCGTTGGAGACTGGGTGCTCTGCGTCGAGAACGAGCGGCTTCTTGCAAAGCCGGGGCTCTGCCTCGAGGCGCTCCCGGAAACACTCGGCAAAACGCACTTCCTCGTGGCCTTCCCGCAGCAGGAATCCAACGCCCAGGCGGGAGTGTGGAAGGGCCAGGCCCCGAGTCGCTGCCAGGGTTTGGAGCTGCAAGGTGCCGCCGGAGATCTCCTGCATCGACCAGCGAGAGCTGGTCGCTTTGCCGGCGAAACACTCTGACTGGCTCACGCCGGTGGAGGAATTCCTCTGGGAGTCTTGCATGTTCTTTGAGAGGGACGTGGACATGTCAGGAGACTCTGAAGAATTGCCACGAGGTGCGTGCAGCACTTCAAGATCTACAGTTGACGCTGGGCTTTCCATGAGCTGGCGAGCTTGATTTGGGAATATTTGGCGCAGTCTTGAGCGAGAAGTCGAGGCCTCAAGCAATCATCGCTGACGAAGCCGAAGACGAGGAGGAGGAGGACCCGTAGCACGGTATCAAAGCGGGAGCCACAGAACAGCCGAGCCCAGGACTCCTCGGAGAGCTGTACTCTCGAAGCCGAAGACGAAGACGAATCAGAGGGCCATAGCCCGGGGAAGATGCGAACTCGACAGCCTGAGCGCGGTCGGGGTCACCGCCGTGGCGGTCGAGGGGCCCATAGCTTCGGATGGTCGGTGAGAAAGCGAGCAAAAGATGTGACTGCAAGACACTGGCATGGGTGAACAATCGCGTGGCCAGACATGTCCTGCCGTTGCAAGGCACGACCTCTTCGGCTCCTTTGCACGGCGCCAGTTGCCGAGCCCCATGGATGCCAGGAGCGTCGCGGCCTCCTGCAACAGAGAAGAGCGTGGTAGAAAGAAACCTGCGAAGGCAATGTAGGACAGGATTTGTCTCCGTGCACGTCACAACAAACAGCGCTCGCCAGGACCGGGACGGGCACGACGCGCTTGAAGGAGCGATCGATTTGGAAGCACACGCAGGACCCTGGATGAAAACCTCGGAAAGAGGGGGCAACTTGAGAGACGCTCCTTTCTGCAGGACACGGTCTTCGCCTCTCGAGCCTCCTCTTGCATGTTGGGAGGCCGATGCACCAAAAGAGTCCAGCAGAGATCTCAGCTACCGTGTGCCCAGGCACCCTCAGGGACGATGTCGGGAGCTTGAGCTCCTTGCCGCCCTTGCCCTCTCCTGTCGCGGCATTTGGGGAACTGAGGATCTTCCAGAAAATCAGGCCAGACAAAAACCGTGCGGCAGGGCCACAGCATCTGAAAGGATGAACGTGTTCCTTCTGCGAGGACGAGACGTCCATGAGCCCAGGGCTACCGGCCGTCAAGGCAGCTGCAGCTCCAGAGAAGTTCAATGTCGAGAGGCTGGAGTCTGCCGGTGTCTGCTCTTGCAGGAAGTCTTTGAAGAACACAGCGAAGCCACTGGCGCCCCGGAGTCGGATACCCGTCCGGAGCAGGCAGCAAGAAGCTCCCTGCCACAGAAGCGTCCCTCCTAGTCAATGCAGGACAGCTTGGATCCCAACCCCGAGGCAGAGTGCGTGCTTAGAGCTCGGGGGCCTCTCTACTGACTCGACTGTAGAGCTCCTCCTCTTAACTTCTTGTGTGTGATCTGTCAGATTATGTGAGTGGTTTTTTTTTCTCCCTTGCGCGAGGCGTCGTTGCCCCACCAGGTGGCGTCGCCGGAGCGGGGCTCTCCCGAGCGGCGGAGACGGCCGCAGCTGCCCTCCGGCGCTTTCTCAGGCCTATGAACGGAGCCGCGACTCCCCGTGAGTGAGAGAGTGAGTCCTTTGGCGGCACTCTCTGCAGGCAGCGGCTTCTTGAGCCGAAGCCTCGCTTCTCCTCCGTTTTCGAGCGTGGAGCGAGGGGACACTCGACTCCCGAGGCCCGAAGTCCGGATCGGCTTCCGGGCAGTCCTTGCTGGTGCGCAGCCCGAGGGGCTGACTGGGGGGGCACCACTTGCCTCTTGGAAGCTGCAGGCCTGGGCCGAGCAGAAGGGCCTCTGCAGCCCTGTGAGCCCCGCCGGAGCCCTGGCTGCGCCGGCGAAGTCCCTCTCAGCTTCGCTTCTGCTGAGGACAGCCGGAGGTCGACAATGAGCAGCCGCGCCGGCAAGTGGAGCCCCGCAGCCAATGCCGGGCAGCCTGGCACCCTCGGCCTTCGGACTGAGAGGCGATCCGATCCTCTCAGGATCCCTACTCTTATGCCTGCGGCAGTCCTACCATGAGGAGAGTCGGCAAAGGGGGGGGGCCAGTTGCTGGGAGGGGTACTCAGCTCGAATGTCTGTGCCAGGAATCGACGTAGCTTCATGTCGCTGGAGCCTGGAGCACAGGTGACTATGTATGAGTCGGGCTGTTTGCCTGAATCCTGGATCTTTGCCGAGGCAGCTTTTCGCTCTCTGTAAGGAGCTGAAGGCTCCCCGTTGCTCTCGGCCCTCCAGAGTCTCTAGAGGGCCTCTGGAAAAGCTTGGGGAGAGCGCTCTCTGCATCGCTGTCCCAGATCATGCCGGATTTGATGAGCAGACAAGCTGTGGTGCGCATCTTCAAGAGAGCACAGCGCCCCGACTGGCAGCCGCTCCTTGCTGAGTCCGACGGGATGCCTCACTGTCTCTCAGGTGCGCAGGTTCGGCAAGTGCACATGGTGGCAGTAACTTCGGATACCTGTCGCAAGAGGCAGGTCGCAGCCGGAGCAACTGCAGCTGCGCTGTTTTGAGAACCCGGTTGCAGCGAAGCTGCTTTGAAGACATTCGTCCGCAGCGTTCAGCCTCACATGCCTTTTGACGAGTTTTGACGGCCTCCTTTTTTCCATCTCGTGGTCCAGGCCCGAGCTTCATGTTTCCAGGGTAGCAGAGCCTGGAGAACTGCAGAAGTGAGGCTCGCCCCAGCGAGGATGTTCATCTGCTGTGTGGACTCGTCAGCGGAGCCTTCACATCGTTTCAGGGGTGTGTGAAGTTTGGACCCAGACCGGCCCGGACCCCACACGAGACCAAGGATGACAAGGAGCTGCCCCCTGCCAAGCTGGTCACATCAGACGAGGCAGAGACGGAACTCGAACTCCTTTCCTTTCTGGCAAAAGCATATGATGCTTCCGCTCAGGTGCTGCCTGCCCGCTCGTCCACAGTGGCGCAAGAGCTGACAATCGGAGCCCGCCCGGCCAAGGAAGCACCATAAGGCGATGGCTCAAGTTCGCGTCACTGGGATTCTCTCAGGAGGAGTGCTTCACTTTCAGTGTTGACGTGGTGCGATCGCCGGGAACGAGCTTTGGCCACGAGCCCAGACGGTGACGGCAGTACCGGCAGTACAGGGCCGAGAAGTGCTCGGAGCCCGTTCGCTACTGCTGGGTACTGTAGCTAAGGCGTGGACATCTCGGCGGCCGGGAAGGCGGTTCCGGCAGTTTTTGGCCATGCTGTAAGGCTGTGGATCTGGTCTAACTAACGCCTTCCGAATCCTGCTCCAGGTTTGCATGGTGAACGCAGTGCAGGCAGGAAGCCTGGTGGGGGACTGGAACAACCAGTGCACTCCCGAAGCCTGGCAGAGCACTCCTTCATGAAGCAGATGAAGAACAACCCAAGTGAAGCAATGCTGACCAAAGTCTTAAAGTAGAAATCGGATTCCCGAGTTCGGTAGCCGTCGTCTGCAGTCATGGTGCTGGTGACCAGCAGCAATTATCGTTGCACGCGGCGAGGAGCCCGCAAAGACAAAGGGAACCAAACGAGCAACGAGAATCAAAGGAGCACTGCGAGAAGCAACAGGCATGCGTGCAGTCGTCATGAGTCATAATTAGTGGTTCGTGGTCTCAATCACCATATCGGTCTTTCTAGCCTGACAAGCGTAGACAGGACTACAGTCGATCGTCGCATTAGCCGTAAGCGAAATGTCATATCAAAAAGGGCGGCTTCGGGATTCTTCCGGGCCAAGGACCACCGGATCCGACAGTACGATCGCCTGATGGCATTCAATGGCGATCGGCCCTCCAAAGGCGGGTCAAACTGCCTTGTAGTCCGTGTCTTTCCCCATGTCTCGCCTCTCGCTCCTTGCTTTCATCTCAGTGACTCTCTGCTGTATCAGGGAAGGAGATGCTGGAAAAGCTTCGAGATGCCTCAGGCGCCGTAAATCACATGCAAGAATCCCATTTCTCAATCATTTCATGCAACCACTTCCTCCAACAGTATAAAGCGGCAGGGCCGGGGGATTAACAGCCGAAGACTGACCCAAGCACCGGGCAGCTTTGGTGTAACCTGTTTGTTCTGGATTTCAGACTTGCCTTGTGCAGGTCCCGTGACCATCACCGTGCAGCGACCGGTGGTCCAGCAGGTGAGAGGGCACGCGAGAGTGGCCCCATGTCTAGCTTTTCATCAGGGAGGAAGGAAGTGCTTTTCCCGAGCGAACTAAGTAGCTAGCTCTCCTGTGTCTGCAGGTGATCGTTTCGAAAAACGGCAAGGAGCTGGGCCTCGGCGTCATCGATGGACAGAGCTTTCTCCTAGCAGCTGGGCTCCAGTCGGAGTGCTGACTCTGCTGTGTGCGATGGAAAACATCTGAGGTTACGAGGATCGCAGAGGGCGCCGTCAACGACCACAACCTTGCGGCTGCATCGGACCAGGTCATCAAGGTGCCGAGCCGGATCGTGTACCTTTGGCATGCATTCGACAAGTCTTTTTGCCGAACCTGGGCCGTAGCTCGCTGCTGAGGACGGTGGATGGCAAGAAGGGCTCCGGAGCGGAGCTGTTAACGCTGATGGAGAATGCGCCTTCTAGCTTTACCGTCGAGATCCTGTGCTATGACTGACGGCGATCAGTGTCCGAAATTTTCAACAGAACAGATGGCAGCACAACCAGAAGATTGCATGCATCAACATCATCACCGAACTGTTTTGGATTCGAGGGAAACATCAACCGGTCTGCCACCACATGTAACACGCCAGACCTGCTGCAAGTGGCTTCAAGGAGAATTGCAGCAATGTGCCAGCATCCTCGCTTGTTTCTGCACCCTGTGCAAAGTAGCGAGGTAGCGAGGTGATAGGACGGACAAAGTCTTCATTTCACGAGGTTGCTGGGTCGGAAGGCACATGTCTTGGAATTGAGTTCATGAGCCTAGCCGACGATTGACTGGAGCCTTTCCGTCGCAAGTGGAAGGGCTCTGTTTTTGCGCCAGTTCGAGTCGACACAGCTCGGCTCTGTAATGATAGAGACGGCGGTGCGACTCAGGCGTCCTTTAAGCGTTTCACCGAGGCAGCCTGCAGCTTTCGCAGTGAGCATTTTCAGTGGACGGGAATCTGCGAAAGCTGGGCTGAAGGCCCTGCGGCTCCTAGCGGCTCCGAGCGGCTCCTAGCGGCTTAGATGAAGTCGGAGAAATGGAGGCAAAAGGAAGGGCCGAAGGCTGCTGCGGTGGCGGTGTGGGCAGGCGAGCGAGAGAGCGAGAGAGGCTTTTGTGGACGCCATGGGCCGGATCGCGGTTCAGGCTTACACCGAGGCCCACTTCGAGTCTTCAGGATCCCTGAACTTCTGCTGTGCTGCAGCGCGTTTCAGGAGCCTTATTGTGACGAGTATCCAGAGCCTCACGAGAAGGCGCACCGACTTGGCACCCTGAGAAGTTTACCCTAGTCGCCCTAGCAGCATACTAGCCTACTAGCTGCAACTAGACGTGCATCAGATTCTGGCCTTCTTGTCCGACCGCCTGCCGGGACAGATCAGGTGCTCGGAATTCGCGCGAGCTCTCTCTCTCTGGGACCCCGGCGCTCTGATTCTGAGGACGATGCGCGAGAGCTTTCGCTATGGCTGCAGTGGCCGTGGCCGACATCCGAGTGATAAGGGCTTTGTGAGTCCTACGTTACGACTCATGTACGATTCTCCAAACCCTCCGTTCTTCTGTAGAGAGAAGAGTCGAGGCCCAGCAGTGACGCCCGGCTACATTGGCCGGGGCCCCTGCTCCCAGGCGGTCCAGCAGTCTAGCTCTAGCAATGGCGTGCTTCCTCCCGCGCACTCCTGCGTGCGCGGAGGCACGAGGAGTGATATTGAAAGCAAAAAAGACACTGGGCACACAAGTGCTCGACAGTGCGGGTCACTGAAAATCCAGTCCCTACATGGCTCTGTCCGTAGTGGATGCAAAAACAGGCAGCAAAAGCGTAACAAATTCGAGCCCCCACGAAGGGTCCGCAGTCCGAGACTCCCCTCGACAGTCAGATTGTAGTCAAACCCCTCAAGTCTGTAGGATTCTGTAGGAAGCTAGCAACTGGTGTGCAAGGCAGGCGCTGACGGAGCGCTTGGGGCTTGCTGTGAGGGTCGCGGCACTTTTCGTCCGCTAGTTGTGGGCCAGGAAAGGGGCTGCGCTTTAGGACCAGAAGCGTTCAGGAAATTCAGGGTCGTCGTCACTACTCCTTGCGGTCCTGGCAGGTGCGTGTGCCCCAAGGGTCCACAGGCACCTGTCCAGGACTCTCTTAGCGCGGATTCCCAGGAGAGGGAACCCCCGTTTCCTCGCCTGGGAGCACACTTCGTGCGAGAGGGACAGGACACAGGAAAGCAAAGTTATGGACTTGTGAATCTTCGCAGCCCAGCAGTCAGCAGAATGAGAATGTCTGTCCCAATTGGAGGATGGTTTACGCCTCCGGTCCTCTAGGGATGCCGGGAGCAAAATTTGGCTCCGCTTAAGAGAGAAGTTGCAGATCTGTCTGCCAGAGCGAGGGTGGCTGGTGCTAATGCAGCCTTCGCCACGGCAACGGGGCACGAAAGCTGGAAACACACACGGATTTGCCAAATTCCAGCTTCAGGTTCTGAATAGGCGTAGCGTAGCAAGGGATCAGAAGAGCAGCTCGCGTCCTGAGATGGAGCAGGCCCACAAGTCCGGCCTTAATAGGCAAGCAAGGCCTGCCTAAAGGGCAGGCCGAGAAGAGTCCGAGTTCCTACAGCACAAGGAAGCAGGGCTTTCCAGAAGCTTCGCACATGACCTTTCCATGATCGGCACCGTAAAGCTTGGTACCCGGTGCGTGCGCTCAAGATGCAGCTCAAGAAGCAAGTGGCCACAGTTTTGCGCAGTGAGTAGGACTGAGTAGGACAAGCCTGTGACTGGTAATTAGCCGGACCTCAAAGTCACTTTCAGCCTGTCAGCTTGTTGCATGGCCCATGCCCGCGGCTGGCGATGCAGGCAGAAAGAGCAGCGCCGCTGTCCCTTTAGCTGGCTCAATGTCGTCCGGCAGCCGAGGTGCGCGTGGATGCCGGCGACCTCGCGCCGGAGCTGCTGCTGTCGGTGCGGGTGGGGAATCTCCGGCGTCAGGCCTGCAGGGGATTGCAGGGGGCTTTGAAAGGTGAGTCGAAGGCTGAGTCGAAAGTCGAAGCTGACGAGGCGACTCTGGCGGCCCTGCAACAGCGGGCACTCAGGAGACCTGCAACAGCGGGGCTTTCTCTCTGCATCCGGAAGTTGACCGGGGAGGTTCCCAGAAGAGCTCTGCGTCGGGAAGACCCTGAAGCTGGAGCTGCTGCAGCAGGCGCTTGAACGGATTGTGCTTTTTGTTCCGTTCGCATCCGTTCGCATCGGTTCGATCCAGGTGGGCAGCGAAGTGGTGGTTTGTTCCCACGAGGACGGGATGTCGAGCTCTGCTCTCGATGGCAATGGCAGTACCCCTGCCTGCACTCCGGCAAGGAATCCTACCGCGTCGGCTTCGAAGCAGGCCGGGCCGGAGAGGGTGCCAATCGCAAGACTGATGAGTTTGGATAAGCTCGAGAGACGGGGGCGAACATGAACAGGACAGCTTGCCCTGACCGTGAGTCCGGAGAGCGGCGACCAGGACGACGCGGCCAGCCGTGAGCTCAGTGCCGCCCTCTGCCCTCTGCGTTGCTCTCCTCCACGCCGCAGGCGATGAGAGGTTCGAGATGGACGGCTTGCCGATGAGGCATTACTTTCGTCCGCAGCCTGCGATGGACCCTCCCTCTGCACAGGAGACAGGATGCGGCTGCCGGTGCCAAAGAGTGCGGCACTGCATTGACAAGACCCTCTCCAGCCGATGCCGTAGATCTTAGATGCCGTCAGGTACTTGGAGAAGCATGAACTGCTACCTTATCTGCAAGGCCTCCTCGAGACGGTCTGCAAGGAGAGACGCCCAGACGTGATAATGAGCGCACCTGATTGGACTGTTGGACTTTCGAGAGTTCTTGAAACAAGCTTTCACAGGAGAAGCCGGCGAACCCCTACCGTTTCCTGCGCGGCACTTGGATTCTTTTGACAGTTTGCCAAGACTGTGAGGCGTCTGTCTGAAGGTGGCGACAGCTTGGCCTGGCCTTGGATACCTCGCCGCCGAAAAAGCCCGCCCAGAACCCAACCGGGCCGACCGGGAAGGCCGAAAAAGCCCAGTGACTGAAGTGGCTTAAGTTTTTGGGGCCAGTTCCAGGCGCAGTCCGCGCGCGAGCCCGAAAAGGGTCTGCCGGAGCTTTCCACGCGCCCCGGCACTCCCGCCGAGCTCGAAGGCGGGGAGCACCTTGCTTTCAGAGATCCTTGGAAGAGTACTCCGCGATGGTCGTCGGCTGTTGGGATCGGTTTGAAAGAGCTGCCACCGCCGGCAGGGAGCCGAGCCACAACGCCGCTGCCGCCGCCTTTGCGGCCCACTTCAGAGGAGGCCCAAAACACATCACAGCGCCCCATAAGGCCTGTAGTCCTCTTGAGAATGCGGTGGCAGGCCGGCACTGGATGTCGGGGACCTAGCATCCCGGAAAGTGCCACGTAGGAGCTTCCCAGCGTCTTGCAAGGTGTGGTTTCTGCAGACGTGCTGCCGGAGCCGCTGAAGAGCGAGATCCAGGAGGCACGCTCGCAGTTTGCCCGAAGCCGAGCCTGGACTCGTCGAAGCCCGGTGGACCTTTGGGGAGGCTCTCGAGGCTCCTTCCGAGTCGCACCTGCCTGCAGCCAATTTCGCAGGGCTGTCCATATTTCTTTTTCTCCAACACACTCTCAGGCAGTGGCTGCACGCGGTGGCGGGCGTGGAGGCACTTTTCAGTCATGCTACTTGTAGAGGATATTCAGCTTGTTTCGTCTGCATGCGCCGCAACGAGGACTTCGAGAATGTGCGACTTGAAGCACTCGCACTTTTTCAAAGTCGCAGCCTTGGGCTCCAGACACTTTCGTTGTGCGACAGTTTGATTGAAGCATGAACATGGGAAGCAGTGTATGGGGAAGAATTCAGCAGTGAGTCGCCACTATTCACCACTCAAGCATCACAAGAAACTGGATGAGCGAGCCAAAAAGAAGCGGTGTGCATGTTCATGTTCGCCTTGGAGGATTCACTCAGTCGTCGCCTCCTCTAGCTGCTGCCATTCTCCACGACTTTATAGGCTTCGACTAACGTATCACCTTCGCGCACTTCGATCTGCCGCGCTGCATGCTTCCACCGATGTGCCTTTCACTTTTGCTTGCAAGAATGCAGCGTGTGACACGGCGGCCGCTCCTTGGGACCCAGTGCAGTGGCAAGTGGCAGTCGGACGAGTCCACAAAAGATTTGTGCAACATACTTCGTATTCTCAGGTTCCATTCAACACGGCACCTTGCAGGAGGTGTTGCAAGGCCGGAGTGATCCCATGGAGAAGGCAGGCGGGATTGTTCTGACATGTTCTGACGATCTGAGCTCGAACGCGAAGCCCAGGGCACAGAGGCTCTGCGGGCGCTCCTGCGCGAGGCTCTTGGCCGTGCCACTCCCCAGACGTTTGGAGTTGAGAGCTCGCAGTGGGCTTGCAGTGCAGGCTTGCAGCTCTCTGGGCTCTGGCTAAGGCTCCGCCGTGGAGGGTTCACTGCCAGCCCTGCTTGGCGAGGAGCGTGGAGCGCGGGAAGTAGGATTAGCCGGATGACCCAGGATGAAGGTCGGATGGTCCATCCGAGAGTTCGTGGACGTGGTGTGCTGGAAGGAGACGGGCTTGGAGTCGAGCGGCAGCGGGCTGGGCCTCTTGCCGGTTCCTCCACCAGGCGGGACGGAGAGTGGCGCGCTAGGGCTGGCACCAATCTGAGTCGAAGGAATGCTGGCGCGCTCTTGTGTGTGTGTGTGTTTGTGTGTATGTGTATGTGTATGTCTTGTCACACCCTGTTGCCAAGAGTCCTTCAATCGCTTTTGTTCAAAAAGGCAGGGGGATGGAGCACGCCTACGGAGTTCCCCGTCAAACAAGGCTGTCCGCAGTGTCTTGAGGATATCACCAAGGACGCCTAGTGACGTACCTGCCTTGGCAATGGCAACCAGGCTACGACACAAACCTGGCAAACACGTCAATGTTGCAAGATATTGATTGAGCCTTACACTGACCATCGGTCAGAGGGTGCCGATGACTGCATAAGTGTCTTCCAGGTAGATGCAAGGTTCATCTCTGCCAACTGCGCTGGGGTAACCCAGGCGGCACTTTCCCGTTATGCTGCGGCAGAGTTCGATCCGATGGGATCATGTTTGGCCCCTCGCGGAGTCTCTGATTGGAGGTTGGCCGCAATCCCTTGGTGATTTCCTATCTCGAACAATCTCTTCCCCCAATCTGACCCGGACGAAACAGACATTGGCGTTGCCACAATTGATTCCAGACCATCAGTTCCATCAGGTCTGATCAAGCAAAGGTTTTTCATCTTGCAGCCGAATCAGAGCTCTTTGCGACATCCTGGCAAATTGGAGCTGGAACTTCTCTTGTTGGTCCTCCAGCAACTCGTGGAAGGAAAGCAGCCAAGCTAGAGTAATTGGCAAAGCACTCGAGGAAAATTCCCCAAGCCTCAGGCTGTTCCCAAGTTCTATTGTCTCCATTCCGAGTCATTTCGTCCAGGACGGGGTTTAGTATTTAAAATTTCGAGACTACGGTCGTCCCTGGTCGCAAATTTTATCGACTCGTCGAGAGCACACCTTGGGCGGTGAAATCAGACCTTGCCGGAAAGGACGTGTCGGAGCTCAAAGTTACCGACCTTACTCGCGAAGGGTTGGACGAGTATTCTCTCGATGCCTTGCTGCGCAGCACCTACAGCACAGCACCGCGCTTTCTACACCGCACCAAGTACACCACCAGAGTTCCCTTCTCCGCCAATCCATTTTGTTCTTTGTCACTTCTTAGCGTGGGGTGGGTTTGGCGGGGCTCGGCACGATGAGCCCTGTAAAGGGATTGTGCGTGTCGCAGCGCTCTCGCTGTGGCTCCGTGCGAATTTTCAACGTCGTCGATGAACCCTCTACAGGGATCGTGCGCGAACTTTCAACGTCCCCGATGAGCCCTCTGCGGGGATCGTGCGTGTCGAAGCGCTCTCGCTGTGGCGCCGCACGATTTTCGAGCTCGCCGATGAACCGTCTGCGGGGATGATGCGTGTCGCAGCTCTCCTGAATACCAGCACCTATATCGCACCAAGACCACAGCACCTACTCAGCACCTACATCGCAGCATCCACACCGCACCAAGACCACACCGCCTACAACACGGCCAGATACGCGCCCCTTGCAAATGTCGAACTCACTGCTTTCGGGATAATCGTGGTGGAGTTTCAACACTTTTCAGGTGCTACTGCAGTGTTTTATCCCATTCGCATCGAATGACGTTCAGCTGCCATGGCTGAGTTGCGTATACAAAGCAACTTAGTGCGGTGCAACATTGTGACCCCCCCTGTGCGCACCCTCCACGATTTTGCTTTTTGGCCGATTGCGGGAGAGTAGCACCTGAGCAGATGGAGATTCGGGCGCTTCATCTGACAAAGTCGTCGTGAAAAGACTACTGTCCCAGATTTTCTGGGCAGTAACCGGCAGCTATCGACCACCAAACATTTATCAGCTGATTCACAGCAGTCACGTGTTGCCTTTCTGAAGACTTGTGACTGATTTCAACACATTTTTCAACACATTTCAACCCTCTCAAGCCCATCTTTATGGAGATTGTACAGCCACAGTACCATACATAGACATGTACATTAGTAACATGGTTGCGTGTGTGTGTGTGTGTCATTCGAATCGCTTTCGTTGAAAAACACTTGGATGGAGCAGGCTTGTGAAGCTTCATATAACAAAGCTCTCCACAGTGTCTTGAAGATATCACCACGCACAGGCATTGGCAGTGGCAACCAGGCGAAGCCACAACTTGGCAAACAACTGAATGTTGTGAGATATTTACTGAGCCTTGAGGCCAGTTTGGCCCCGGAACCTCGTCACCGAACATAGACATACAGCTTGGCTCTATCCAGTTACACTAGAGACTGCAGATGACAGCATAAGAGTGTGTGTCTGCGTTTGAGAGAAGAACCACGTGGCAAACAGCCCGAGTGATACAGCGCCAATCAAGACATCAAGAGTCCGGAATTCACGCGCTCCCCAGTGATCCGAAGCAGGTGCCAAGCCGCCGGTTGCGAGGCCCAGGCCGCACTTCAAGGACTGCAGACTGCAGCCAGTTTGCGGCCGGCCTGAAAATGGCACGAGACCTGATCGAAACGGGAGCATGCCGCGCTGCAATCTTCTTGCCCTGGCCCTTCACAGGATGCGAGCCCCTCAGAGGCCAGATTGCACCTTCCTCGGGCGAAGGGCAGGCTAATCTGAAGATTGGCCAGGATGCCAAGGCGTGCCGCATCCTCACTGAGCGAATCCTTTGCCGCGGGACACCAAGAGCCTGCGTGTCCAGGGCAGGATTGATGTGAGGGATGTGGGCAGTGCAGTTCTGGTGAGGCACGGCATCCCGTGTGTACAAAG